ACTACTACTACTACTACTACTACTACTACTACTACTACTACTACTACTACTTCTACAGCCACAACAACAACAACAATAACAACAACAGCAACAACCGCAACGGCAAAGACAACGACAACGACAACGACAACAAGGACAGCAAGAATGTTAGATTCATAGGTAGTTGATGGTAGTTGCACATATATCTGCAACTGTCAAATAGCCATCAACCATCACAACCGCCACAACCACTGGCATCGACAAGTCACTCGCTGGCCGCTCGCCTCCCCAAGAATCCTCTCCATTCACCACCTCCATGCCCCTCCACACCGAGGCCACACAGCCCATCCAGACCCACGTCCTGCACCTCCACAGTCCAGCCACCCGTCTGCGCCAAGCGCTTCGCCCAGGCACTGCCATCTGCACCTCGCCAGGACCAGGTCAAGGCCACGGCGGCCAACACCTGCTGAACGAAGGCACCGCGCGGGGGCGACCGAACGAAGGGCCGATGGGGCCGATGAGGCGAGGCTGAGACCAAGGATATATTTTAACATGGTAAAATGGCAACTCACAATGAAGTATATAAACATGACTACTTGATGAAGTAAGCACACAGCCCTCACTTTCTTCGAGCACGTTGGTCATCCTCTTTTTGGACAGCGCCTCGGCAACCTGAGCATCACCGCCCTGGCGCAGCTGTCGCAACAAGGCACCCAGCTGTCGCGCGGCGAAGAAGCCTAAGACCTGGGTGCAGGTGGAGAGGAGAACGGTGAAAGTGACCTTGGTGACATCACATGGCAGGTGGAAAATGGTTGGATTTTGGTGGTGACCAATTTTTGGTTGGGAAATTTGAGATGGTTGGACATGGGGCAATGGTTGTACGATATATAATTGAACAACAAACTTTGCCCAACACCGCCCTTGCTTTCTGACGGTTGTGGTTTATCAGGATTTATCTATGCGTGATCTCGGTGTAGCTCTTGACCACTTTGAAATCGTTCCAAAACGCACCTCGCACCGGTGTCCTCCAAACGCACCGGCGCGTTCAGCCGCTGAACAAAACAGGGCTTTAGCCCAGGCACCGGGTGGCTCCGGCGTAGCTCCGTGAGCTTCCTGTGCCAGTTGGCCTCAAAGGAGAAGAAGCCCATGGGGGCTCATGAGGAAACCGGAGGAAAACAAAAGAAACAAACGTTCACTGCAATGGGAAAAGGATGTTGTTCATAGACTTTTCGTGTCCTGGTGATGCTGAACATGCAGATTTGTGGTGTACACACTGAAAACACCAGTGGTTGGAGTGTGGTTTGAGATGCTTGTGTTCAATGATGTTCAATGATTGGTCTACTTGGTCACCCAGCAACGATGAACAACAACAACAACAACAAGAACTTGTTCACCGAAGATTCCCCAGCATCGCAATGTGTGTTGACTAGTTGTTCCCTCAGCAAATGCCAGCCACCTGGAGATGGCAAGTGCCACCATGAAGAAACTCCTTAATATCTCAAGTCCAGCCTCTCTTCCCAGCTAGTGGGCATTCAAAATGTCGCTGTTTGATGCTGTTCGACTCATTTGGGGCATGACAGTCTGTGCTATCGGCTGTGCGAAATGTGGCTGGGAGATGCTGGGAGAACAGTTCTCAACCAGTTCTCCAAGACCCTGAGTAAACAACGCTGAACTCACCACATATGGCGCCATGGGTCAGCCGGTTGACCCGGCTGGGTCGGACATCCTTTAGAGAGGAATTCGGAATCTGCTCACTGTTCAGCGGTCAACCAGGGTTTTGACGTACCGTACAGCCATAGAACTGTGGTCCTCAGTCCGACACAGTCTCTCGCGGCTCGCGGGTCCTCCTTTGAACAGCGAACGGCGGTGTTTGTCACCCACGTCTCGCTGACGCAGCGCGTGTCTTCGCGTCGAGCCTGGCGATCTCGAAGTTCGTTCAACTTGTGCTTCATCTGCTGCAGGGCCATGGATAAGAGCCACTCCAAGTGGAATTCCTGCCGCTTAAGGCATTCTGGGAAAGATGGGGTTGCGAACCAGAACAAAACAAACAAAGACATGACATGTTGCTCCACAGCTATGCTGCAACCAGTCAACCTACCGGTCCACGACCGCCTGGAACTCGGGATGCCCGGTGACCCGCAGATCCTCCACGACCTGAGACCGGACGGCGTCGATTCGGTCGGGTTCGGTGCAGGGCAGAAGGAAGAGGTAGGAGAAATTGGGTCCTCAGAGGTAGGTGTGAATGTCTATGAATTCTGGAATCCCCTTAATCCATCAGCACCTGGATTGTGGCAGGAAGTAGATGCAAGAAGTGACAATATGAGTGGTTTTGGACGAACGGAAGGATACTTTCTTCTTTCCACACAAGTCACACGAGCCACTGGGTGTTTCGCCACTCATGAAGCCACTCACTTTGTTTTTGACTCAACTTCTTGATGCTTCGGATCTTCCATCCAACTCATCCGACAGCCGAGCGCCGTTGGACTCGGCGCGCCGAACCAGCCGAGCCGAGCGAAGGCACCGTCACGGCCAAGCGTACCAGGCCAATCTGTTCGTTGAAGGTGCCCACCTGGAAGCATGAGTCGGAGTCTTAACTTGAACTATAGGAAAAGATACGAAGTTTCCTGGGTGCAACAGGTCCTCTAGGTGAGCCACACAAGAACATGATGGATGATTGATGCCCCAGCTTTTGGGTCTATAGACAGCAATTTCTATCCCAACCACTTTCCGCAGGACGATGAACTACAAACAGAACGAGTCTGGGATGGCCCGTAGAAGCTCCGCTTCTTCGCTCTCCAACCGGAGGGTGCTGCTACCTCTGGACCAGACGTGCGACCTATGCATCCGTCAATGCATTCGGGGGTGTGTCCACTGGTCTATTTCTCAAAGCTTCCAGGACATCGGGACGCCTGGAAGGTCTTCTGATTTTAGGACACATATTTTTGCACCTATTTGCACCATCTCCACCAGTCTCCACCAGTCTCCATGGGTTCGGGTTCGGAACACCCATCCAGGAACTCGTTGCCGTCCCAAGAACCCGATCCTTCCGGCTCCACACGTGCGATCCCGAGGTTGAAGGGATACAAAGCCTTCGGACATTGGAGTGATCAAGAGTAAGTCTTTTCCCGTTTTCCTCCCAGTCAGTTCCTCTTTCAAGGAGTCAAAGAAAACACACAAATATGAATTCAACAAAAGAACGCCGCATCCTCAAAATCTCTATGAGGGCGTTCAGGGTCATGCCTGGTCAGCCTTGCAACATCCCTGGTTTGGCTTGCAGTTGTCACAACCCCACGCCTGCTGGAACGCCGCATCCGACGTGCTCGCAGCCAACGTCACCGCAGCCTCCGCAGCGGGACATTGGAAAAGGCTTGGGTGATCCGATGACGGAGATGTTCAAGCATGACACTCACTCCCTGATGACCATATATGGACGTGGATGGCATGGCCCCGTCAGCATAAACCTGATGACCATAGGTTCCGAACACCCGACAGGTGGTGTTCCTTTTCCAGAAGTAGTTCAAGGAGCGTATCTTGCGCTCTAAATATACGTGTTCAACGATGACATACAATGACCGGGTTCTCAGCCATTCCATGCGAACCACCATGCAAACCCTAGGTGGGGGTGCAAGCCATGCGTCCTGGTAGAAGCACCATGCATCCAGTGTCTTCTCCCCCAATTCCACCATTCCAACTGGCCCTCCATGAGCTCCCCGGCTGGTGAAGACCCGGAAATCCACCCGGCGCCTGGAAATCCAAGATCTCGACCAGCCGCTGCGGCTGCGACTTCTGCGACGTGCCTAGGCCGACCGCACCGACGCGCTCACCGCGGTGATCGGAAGAGCGGACCGGGTCGTCCTGGTGGAAAAGGACCTTTTGTCATGTCTGGGAACAAAAAGACCTCGGTACTGTGTGTGATCCTGGGAGTTGCTTGCATGGTGTCGACAGTGGTGATCATGGTCAAGTTGCTGCATAGTCGCTGTTGGGGGAATAAGGGCCTCCATCAATTTGTGCTTGAGACTTGTCCCACCACAATAATTACGAGTAGTAGTTCCCAATCCCACGATGACGGCACCTAGTTTTGAAATCAAATACTGTAACCCAGCTGACAGGTCCCAGTAGCAATCATTTGCCAAAAGGTCATGCATCTACCAAGTAGATGTTATACTATTACAGTATACTCAGTATACACAACGGGCCACAAACACTTCCCCAAAACACCCCCACTGTTGTCCAAGCCTCCATCCTCAACCTCCTATGCCGTTCCCGTTCCTCCTACGCCGCGCACCTGACCTGAACACACGACGCTAAGAGTCGTCACACCGTGTACACGACGCCAAGCGCCTGGATCGTTAAGGAGCAAGTAGAGCAAGCGCGCTTCGGCAGGGATCTCTGCCAGGGCCTCCTCCTCTTGGAGCGTTCAACGCTTCATGGGCGCTCACTTGGCTGAACGCTTCGTGGGTCAGGATGTGTCAATCAGGTGATTGGCATCGGCATCTAACCCACCAAATAGGCATCGGTCGTGAAGGATTGGCCACCCATCCAAGAAAACCTGCCACGTGCCACACGCACCCGTCGTGCCACGTGCCACGTGCCGAGACCGAGACCCCAGGGACGTCTTTTCTCCATCCACGTCCGTCTCCTCCATTTCGCCCTCCTGGTCCGGCACGTGCTGTGCAATCTCCCTGGGCACTCTGGGCTGGGTCCGAGGTCTGCCGAAAGCGAAGGGTAGAAACAGCTCTGGTCTTGGGTGGTTTTAGCCATGCTTTCACCAACAAAAGGGTTGTTCTAAGATGTTCTAAGTAGGCCCCATGGACAGTCCTTCCCAAATACATCTGGGCCAAATTTCTGGATAGAGGATCCTAGAGAGGTGCCTGGATGTTTCTTTTGGCAATACCGATAATAATCCGTGTTCATTTGAGACGTGAGCCGACCCCATATTTATCTCCTTCATGTTGAAACCACGGTTTCCATCAGCTTCCAACTTAAGCCTCCAAGATCCTCTCTCCAGCTGAAGCCTCCACATCCTCTCACATCCTGCTTCGAACAGCGCGCGCGCTCCGTCCGCTTGCTACCCTCGCCGTCGCCTGGGATAGGACATCACCCACCGCGCATGGCTCGTTGGCTTCAACATTTGGAGCATCCGCGCCAGCGCCGCGTCCTCTCGAGTGGCCACGTCTACGGGCGTAAAGGAAGGGGAAGTGGCGAGAATAAAAACAACAAGGGGAATGAAAAAGCAGGTTGTGTGGCAAAAAGTAATGGACCCTTCCAAGAAGCATGTGCATTTTGTCTGGGCTCTAGAAGAGGTTTTTTCTGTTTCCTTGCACGAAAGAGAGGTGGTTCTGCGTGTCAACCTATCAATTAACTAATTAGATAATTAAGGCCCCATTGGTCATACATGGTCATACTATGCCAAGATAACCTTCTTTGTAGCCTGTCAAATCAGGGCAAATCAACCACTCAAGAAGAATCATGCACCCAAAAATGCCACAATCTCCCTGGCGGACCCACCCAGCGCTTGCCGTTCGCCGCGCCTTTCGCCGAAGCCTTCGCATTAGAAAGAGTTCAACGAGGAATGCCACCCAAGAGAACAGACGAAAGGGTCCTTGCCACCCAAGAGCTCCGACAAAGGTGCGTACATCGAGTTGGCAAAGTTCAAGGCATGCACCAAGCCTGAGAAACGAGAGACGGAGACCGACGTGTTCTCCGTGCCCGCTCCAAGCTGAAGGGCCAGGGACTGTTTTGGGGGCGAAGCGGCGACTGCCCTCGGTGCAACCATGATCTCGTTTACCGTGGCGTGTCTGGAGTGTCTTCTTCCAGTCACGACCTGCTGTTCTCTGTGAGGCGCTGATCGAAGTGGTCGGTTCTTGCTAAGTCCACCCAATGAGATGGTCACAGTGGTAGTGTATTGAAAGGACGGGGACGGTGGCGATGTCGGGCCAGTCGCGGCACAGACTTGTGGCACTGGGACACGACAAACACAATGTGATCCTTGTCAGCCCCCCTGGCTGGCCTGCGATTTCCGAGGAATTCTCCAAGGAAGAGAGCGAGAGCAGCAAGGCATCCTCAGCAAGTGCACGGTGGGATGGGCTGGGATTTACCACTCGGTGGGTGTTCATGTTTGCCAAGGAGATAGAAAGTCACGACCCCCTTGGTTAACAAGCAAAAACAAGCACCTTCATCAAAACCTTCATCAGCTGCAGGTAGTTGTCATCAAAACAAGGTCCCCCCACCGTCCGGATGTCCCATCCTCCCCTAAACTGCATGTTCAAACTATGTTAAGAAACTGTTTACAATCTATTTTCTGAACAAAGATGCTTTAAAGAATATAGTCATAACAACTTGAACCATGTTTGAACAGTTGTTTCTTCCAAAGCTGTTCTCTTTCTTGCTGAACAGCTGTGGTCTTTCTGCTTCCCCGCCCCAGCAGCTCTCCCGGGTCTTTTCTTCGGCAAAACACCAGGGAGGCGAAGCGTTTGGCCGGGCGGTAGATGAGCTCCTGGTGGAACGAGTGGCTTTGGGGAGCTGAAGGGGACTGTATATATTGGGTCTATCCTATTGTCTGTATCAGTGGATGATGCTTAGTAAAGGCCTTGCTCAAAAATGATGAGAATTGTTTACTGACTGTTACAGGTAATAGGACAGACCCAATGTATATAGGCCCTTTGCCCTGCAGAGGACCATAGCAAGCACCCTGAAAGCAAAATGACATGTCTAATCATGTCTATGTGTCACTCTCTCCAAGGTCTTGCTTGTTGGGGTAGCTTTGTTTTAGCTTGAGGGAGGATAGTCATCAGCAGCTTTAACAGTGGCTCGGACCTTGAAATAAACAAAATACTTCAAAAAAGGCATCGTCACAGTATACAAGGGAACTAAACGTTGCGGCAGTCTGATGCATCGCAAAAAAAGAAGGGGCCACAGCTCCACGTTGCTTCCCTTGGTAGATCCAAACCCAAGGGGCAAACTTCCTGCCACCTGTCACCCCTCTTTTGAAGTCCTGGACTCAACCGTCATCAGCCGGCCCCCGCCCATCGTCCGCCCCGTCCGACCCTCGAACCCATGGGGTCACCGGTCATGCAAGGTGGTGCGCACGGCGGTCAGCGCCGACAGCTTGCTCTCGTCCACTCGGCCTCCGGTTCGTCGCGCGTCGTCGCGCGAGGGCGGGGGGGAGTGGCGCTCCAACGGGCACTGAAGAGCTGGGACAAGGCCAATTGAGATGACACTCCAGGTTTGACCTGTACTAAGTTCCAGTATCTGTCTCATTAGGTTATCCGCCGACCCCTGCCTAGCTGACGCCTAGTAGGCGGGGCAGCGCCTGGGACACCGCAGGGTGAAACGGTGGCTCAACTTAGCTTTCGGCTAGTTGCTCAGCAAGACCTGACAGGCCATTACCTGGGCTTTGTCTGCCTACCGGGGCGTTCCAGGCCGTTAGGCAGTCTCGCTCGGCCAGCACCTTTGCATATTCTGGGCTTCCGAAGGCAACGTTCCAGGCGACGTTCGGCACGCGACGCTGCTGTTAGGCACCCTGTGGCGCGCTGCTCCGTTCAAACCTTCAGGGCCAGGGTGTTTTGTGGCGCCACCGAGTTTTCGGAGTGGTCCATGGGCAGCCGGCCACAGGCTTGTGGCAGCTACCTGGGGCTTGTCCCCTGGTGTTTTGCGTTTGCTCTTGACTTGGCAAGCTTTCTTTCTGCATGCTGTGAGTTTCAACTTTTGGTGGTAAAACTGAACAAATCCACGGCGACTGCGCGCCTGCTTCGGCTGCAAAAATGGGGGTCGGCGGCACCAGGGCATTAGCCCATCTATACTCAGGTAGACACAATGGCATGACAGGTACACCTGGGCACCAGGGCTTCGTTGTTGGCCTTGACCTGCCCTCTGGTCACCCTCGGCATGTCAAGCATTCCGCTGCACCTTCGTTGGAGAGCCACAGCTCCGTTGGCACTTCCATCTCGGAGCGCCCCAAGGCAATCTCCACTCGAACCTCGCCGCTCGGTCTCGCGATGAGACCCCCACACCGACGTCGCGCGCGAGCGACGGCTCGAACCCGAGGTGTGACGGTCACGAGCCATCGCTCCATGGTGGAGCAGGGTTCCATGTGTTGACCCATCTACAGATATGAGTCTGTTATAAGGAGTCAGTCATGTGTACCAGGACCTCTCCCTGCTTCAGTTGAAACTGTTTTTTTAATAGTCTATACTATAGTCTATTGGAAAACCTCCCAATTCGACCCCTTCAAAAAAAGGATAACTAGACCAGTCGACCCATTGGGGCGATCGGGTGTCTCACTATTGAAACATTCAGATGAAGATGGACGTCTGACATTTGGTTCTCCTGGTTTTTCCCTCTCGCGTACAAAGCCGATAATTGGCGTGTGATATAAAAATGCCCATCTCCGTACCCCACTGCCCAGGTGCCAGGTAGTCGGCGTCCTCCGGCATCTTTCGAAGCCTTCCAAAGATCTCCCGTTTGGGACCCCGAAGGTGAGGGACCAAAGACAGCTGGACAACACGAGAACATCAATATGTCTCACAGACCATCAATTCCCGAACAAAAACGATGGACTTCTCAGCGCCGCATGATCTGCCAATCTTAAATCGCTATACCTCTACAAATCCCCGGCCCACGGGCAAAAATTGTCTGCTGTAGGATTACAAATGTCAGCCAACAAATGTTGGGTAGAGTAGAGTCGGGATGTCAACATTCAAAAAGTATATCAGTATAAAAAGGTAATATAAAAACATAACAATAAGCCATATCAACCGAAAGTAAAAAACTGCGTCCCAAAGCTTCCCAATACCCAGCAATTCTTCGGCGAAGCAGCCACTGCAGAAGGTCAAAGGATTGAAAAATCGATGTCATCAACTCCTGCAGTTGGTCGTTCAGGTTCATGGATCTCACGGATCCGGAAACTGGAGGGCACCACGCAAAAGAGCATTGAAGCTGCCAGATTCACGACTTTCCAAGACAAAATCAGACAAATCCAGAAAACATGTGAATGTATGTGAATGTGTGACTTTACTTCAACTGTCTTTCGGCTGGAGGCAGGAAATGTAAAGATCAACAAACAAACGTACAAGTAACACCATGCAAGGGTTCTTGCCCTTGTGCTTTCACATCCTACTCATTCAGTCAAGAAAAAAAACACAGTCACCGTTACGGCGCAGTGTTGTGTTTATTCTCAGGAAAATGCCTCGGGCCCAACCTACAAAACCTTATGTTTGCGGCAGCTTGACCCAACAATCTATTGTTTTTTACTTTCTTTTTCTCTCTCTCTCTCTCTCTCTCTCGCTCGCTCGCTCGTCCTGCGAGTGCATCAAGAGGCGAGGGTCGATCTTTTGAGATAATTTGGTCATCTCGACCTGAGTCATCCCTCCAGTCCACTAGAGTCCAACAACCAGCCCCACATGATTTGTTGGTAGAAAATACCCTCCAAACGCACAAAATAGCACCCCCCAGGCCCAAAGGCGCAAGAAGGCGATTGTGAGTTCATGCGAATCGTACTAGCCATGGTTACAAATACCTAGTTTTTTGAGTCCTGAAGGACTCTGAAACGATTCTCAAATGGGAGGCTACATTTCACCTAATCCACAGTTGTGTTCCCTCTCGAAAATTTGGTTTTTACGGTTGCGGAGGAACATGTCCAACAAAATGTTTCACGACCTCACAAATGGTTCCAATGTTTTGCCTGAATATACACCAGGTCTACTTCAGCCCATCCCAACAAAAGTTGGAATTGCCACACACGGTGTGCCCCCCTCCTTCGGAGACCCTAACCCCGGTTCGAGTTCGAGGGACAGAGTCTTTCAACGGCGTGGACTCCCAACGTGCAAAATGTTCCTGTGACGCTGCTCAGGCACTGGAGTAGAACAAACACGTGCAATGTCCAACACCAACTGACGAGTATATTCAACGTTGAACGCTGCTATTTGTACTCCAAATCGCAAAGGATGAAGGCAGGCATTGGAGAGAATGCAATCATGGATTTCCTACAGCGTCTGTCACAGCTCCAAACAGAACTGGCAAGGTATGTCTGCCACGCCTCGACCTTGGCTACTTACAAATTCTGGGTCTTCACTTTCGTTCAGGCACCCCGGCTCCCAGCAAACGAGGCGGTCAAGAACAAGCCTGCCTCCAACTGAAGGAGAACGGTCAAGACTTCTGCAGCATCCTGCACAAGGCTTGGCACACGAAGACGACCGATAAGCGATAAAGGGTGCTACAGCAAGGTACTTTTCCTCTTGCGAAGGCTGCTTGCTGCACTTGCTGGTAGGGGGCAAACCTCTACGCTTTTGGCAAGCTTGGCTTCTTCCTGACAGGACACAGGTCCGCGGCCGGAGCGCCATCATCTTTCTTCCTTCATCTTCCTACATCGGATCATCTAGCAACTGCACAAACTGCATGGTGTTGCATGGGCCATTCGTTGGCCCGCTCCAGCTGTTCCTGTTCAAAAGCTGGGCAGTCTAGTCATACCACGTCGTTCCTGAAAGCACCCCAGTAATTCGGCGAAAACCATGGTCCCCCTTAGAGTTTGATCCCTGCTTTTGGCTTAGAGTTTTGGTTTTCATGTGGCGTATCTTGTACCCAATTCTTGCTGCATGCTAAGTGCATGCCAAGGCAGTATGTTTTTTTGAACCAAGTTGTAGCTTCTGAAAACCATGTGCACCTTGATTTTGACACGCTTTCCATGTAATTCTGGGTATCTGAGTTGAAGCAGGAAGGCCGGGGGAATGATGTACCTCGGTATGTATCACTCCTTGACTTCTTGTCATGTTCCAACACCAACTGGTCTAAGCAGAGGCAATGTGCAATTGTGTATGACTGAAACATGCTGCAACAAAGAAAATGTCAGTCAGTGGGTTTTGCCCGTGGCGAAGCCAAAATGTATAACGGTCAACAGAAACCTTTGGCAAAGAGAGGAAGAACAAGCAGCTGCTGTAATATCAAATCCTTCATTGGATCAACTATTAACGTTGACATGTTCCATACTCTCTGCAATACTGGGCGCAGCACAAAGAAACATTAGCAAAGCAACGTAGAATTGGAAGTGAAACTTGTAGTCCTGGCCTCATGGGAAGTCTTCAGTAAAGTGTCACATCAGCAAAGAGGTGTCATCGCAATAGTACAGTTACTGACAGCGAACACCTCCCCAACACTTAGAAAAGGACCATGCACCCTTAAATGTATGTCATTGCACCCCTTAAACACTTTTCTTAAATGGTTGGTCCACTTGCTTTTGAAACTGTGCGTGCCTCTACCAAACTCAATGAAGGAGAGTTCCACCCCATGCCCGAAGTCAAAATGAATCCTGGGGGGTATCGGCTTTCATGCTTTCTTAGCGGGGATATCTTTGATTAATCCACACCCCGAAAGCAATTTCGGTGAATTGGTGAACCAATTCCATGACATCCCCGAAAAAAGCCACCTGCTGAAGAACAACCCCACCGCTATAGATCGCTGGCGCCATCTGTTTCAATTCCTGGCCGAACAACCTGGGCCCGTCGCCCAATAGAGGGGTCGTCTGACTATGCCGAAGCAAACATGGACGAACTGAACTTGATTCCAACAATTCAGAACCGTCAAGTGCAAAGATCTTCCCGGATCTTCTTTCCAGCTCTTGTGAGTTGCCCTCATGTAAGTACCCCCTAGAAACAGCCAGGAGGTTGATGATCCCTTTATATTCAAGAGGGCTCGTGCATTGAGAGGTCGGTATCCAGCTGCACTGCTCAGAGTTCACTTCAGTGAGCTGCAAAAATCAGCCGTTGAAAACATCCATAAATTTCCTAAGCCAGGCCCCAGAAACGTACTGACATACTTCCCTGGACTATTCCCCAAGAGCCCAAGCAACACATCTTGTTGACCTTTGGGATGTTTGGCGAAGCAGATTTTGTACCGCCAAGCTTGTTAATGGTTTAAAAAGCCTGTGATGTTTCAGAGAGAGAGAGAGAGAGAGTGATGTCTAAGTGGTCTGGATACCCTGTAAAAGAAAAAGAACACAGGACCTTGAAACAGGCGGTTGTAATTTTCCCTCACATCATGCTCACCACCTGTGCGGAGGAGCTGTGCGGAGCTGCTCACCTTCCGCTGTGAACAGGCTTCCAAAAAGAAACTCCGTTCGAACGTCGGAAATCCCGGAAGGGACTGAGTCGGAGGTGGTGACTTGGGCTGTCCTGAAAAGGCACGTCGCACGCTTTTTCTGCATCAGAACCGAGCGTTCGAGCATGTGAAGCAGCGTGCGCGTTCGGCACGCACGTTCACGTGCACCACGAATCACACAGCCACCCCCAACCCGGAATACCATCTTTGGGGACCATTTTTGGGTGGTTGGTCCAAAATAGGTCATATGCACTGGTGTAGTACTATAGACATTACTACATCTATACTTCTACTTCCACACTGCATTTCCACCAATGAAACGCCAAAACCCACCAATTGGCCAGCGCAAGGCTCCCCGGGACCACCACCTAGCCACGCCACGATCGAAACGGCCGATTCGTCATCGATCCCTTCGCCGTCGTGCTCGGGCATCCTGCTTCCCGGTCTCATCTAGGAGCATCTCTTGTAGGGAGGCGAGGGTCTTCTTCAGTCCCTTCAAGGCCATCTTCACGGACCAGCTGTGCCAGAGCTTCCTGAAAAGCAGCGAAAAGCTTCACGGCTGGCGGAAGATCGATGGTTCGTTTTCTTCGGAAGGAAACCAAGCATCCAGGTCCACGCATTGGGGCGACCAAGATCATACGACTGGTTCGGGCACATTATTGCTTGGCACCCCAAGTTATAGACGAGGGGAGGGACCAGTCACGTTTCATTTAAATCTGAACTTTCCGCATGTCAAGAACCAACACTCTTTCCAGCAACTGACATGGAAGGTAAAAAGGGTTTGCTAAAAATTAGCCCAGTGCAAATAAAGGGGGTCGTCGCAAGCATCCGTGCCATGTTCCATCATGTTCCACCAGCCCATGATTCTTAACATGGCCACTGTGAAGGGACCGGACTTTGGAAAGCCAGCTTATGCAGCCTTCGACCGGACGGTGTTACGCCTTGGCTGATTTCCCACACAGCACCGACTAGCAACGGGTGTTGTGGCCCCACCAGGCCACCAGCTGGTGCCAGAGAGGTTGGGTTTCGGTTCTTTGCTAGTGAACCGTGAGTCCAGCGTGCCCAACAGCCAGCCACTTGGGATGGATTTGGAAGCCTCAACATCTCCAAGTTTGGCTGAGAAACATGTGCAAGACACGACAGGCCTCTATGTGGTCCTCTATGCATACCTGTCACTTCCCTCCTTTTCATCTCGTTTCATCTCGTTCCTCTTTCACCCCACCCCCTTCCGCGGCCAGGCGGCTGGGCCAACTGCTGCGCTTGCACCTCCCAGGTGCCCGGGTCCTCTAAGGCTTGCCAGGTCAAGGTCTCCAAGGTGCTCGGGCAGCCTGTGAGTGTAGCTGGATTCCGGGGCCAGGGGTGACCGGTAAGAGAAGACGTCCGGTTGGTGTGGAGATTTTTTGGGTTTGGGTCCAGGAAAAGCCTCTTTACATAAGGCCAAAAATCCACCAACTCAACCTATTGAAGGGTCTCCCGAATAGTCAACTACACACCTACATCGTTTTTTTGGATCGAACAGAGACTCAGCACAGCCCATTCAGACCGCAGTCTTGCAACCCTTTGGGGATTTTGTGATCCGAACTGTGCGTTCCAAAACGAAGCAGCCAGGTCTCAAAGGGTCAAGTAGAGGGGCAAAAAAAAAACACAGGGAGTCATCACCGGTAAGGACGATGACGAAGGTACTGGCCCTGGCGCAATAACTCCCGGATTCCACGCATGGAGACTGATCCTGGTTCATCTTTCTTACTGCATAAAGTCCTTTACTCATACCCTTGCACTACTCCGTGCACTCTGCGCTGAATTTTGCGCTCCTGTCACGGCCATCAAGCGAAGCTCTGCTTGGTGTTGCAGCCTGCAAGACGTGTCATGATGAAGTGGCCAGGGTACAAATGCTCAATCAATCGACACAGAAGTGCACAAGGATCAGGAATGCGATCTATACCTGATGTCATCTAATGCTCAATCAATCGACACAGAAGTGCACAAGGATTAGGAATGCGATCTATACCTGATGTTCACTGATGTTCCTGAAACTCCAACCAAATCTAGGAAACTTCAACCACTGATCTGCAGGTCAAGCCTCCGTCCGACCAAGTCAACCGATCGTAACGACGAGTCTCCGTCCGCTTCACCTCTCAAGGACTTGGTCCAACTGCGAGAGCTTCAAGCTGGAGCCCTGCGCGACGCAGCCGGCCGCGGCGTGAAGCCGCCGCGAAACGGCAAAAGGGCAGGTCGTTCGGTGGATCTCGTGGACTGGTCGCATGGTCAACTGGTGGTTCGCTCCAGGTTTGGAGCCATCGCCATAGTCAGCTCTTTTTCATGGCCGCCAGTTGCGGAGCTGTTTTTGCCCTCCAACTGATGGTCCCAAAGCGGAGGGTGTCTGTTTCACCCACATCAATGGCTTGGCTCCCAGTGCGAAGCAGCTGTTCCTTTGCTTTCCAACCCAAAACTTCCAGCACACCAAATCCTCCAAAAACATCACATCCGAGGACCCTCTTCTATGTTTTTATCGTTTTCAATTGCATCAATGGTTCGTCCACGGGTTTTCAACTCGGCAACAGGTCCCAAAAGACCAAATCCGAACACTCCCCAAAACCGCCCAGAACCCGACGCACCGCCCGGGCGCCACAACCGCGAGCGTCGCTTTTTGGGGCATTCGCTTCAAATCGCGAGGTCGCCCCGTGGATGGTCAGAGGGCAACGGTGTGAAGAACTCCTCGACCTGCGTGTCGGTGACCTCCTCCAGACTGGGCGGCTGCCATTGCGGCTTTTGGTCCTCGCGAGGACGAGGGGGTGCAGCTGGGTGGGAGTTGGGAATGAAAGATGGGGAAAGAGTCAAGGTCAGAATATGTTCATCCATGTTCATCCCAAAATTGTGTGGTGCGTCCATCTGTTGAAGGACAGTGTTCCGTATCATGCACACTTGTGCACTTCAAAACACTTGAGACATCTCGTGATAAAAAAAAGCATGTATGCGACAACCATGCGACAACCCCCAAAACCCATCCAAATAAAATGGTGCACATCAAATTTGAAAGACCTTCAAGACCATCAAGTCATATCAATCATATCAAGTCCTTACAGCCCATCTACCCCACCACCTCCGGCCCGGCTTCGTCCTTGTCCACCAACACCGCCCGGATGCCCTCGCAGAAGTCGCTCCAGGGCGCAGGGCGCATGAACTTCTGCGAGAGGCGATACTCGACGATGAAGGCCTCACGCAGCGTCACCGACTGGTGCCGCCGCAAGGCTTCCAAGGAGACCTTCACCTGAGAAGCAGAGCGGAGAAAGCGACCGGGGAGAGCGATCCTGATTGGGGGTCTTGTAATGGTCTTGTAATATCTTGTGTGCTTTTGTCATGAACAAAAAACATCATAAAAGCGAACGGCCTTAGTGTTTGTGTTGGGCCAATTCTACCTCGCCAACATGATCCGTTCACCCTCAGCTGTTGGCGAATGCCGCCCATGCCCAGCGATCAACCGCCTCAATCTGACTCCGTAGCCGTTTCCCTGGAAAACAAAGGTTAATTCACCTTTTTCCTCCTACTCTTGAGTGGAGAAACATGGAGAAACCAAGCCCAAAAACGGTTTTGTAAGTTAATCATCCCCATTTTCTTGAGTAGGCCATGGTGTTGTCCCAACAATTTGGACCACACTCCCAACACCCGTTGGATGCATCCACATCCAAGCAGGACAGCCTGCATCCACCGACCCGACCGACCCGCATCCAAGCGCACCCCCACCCGGTCCAAGGCACTGAAAGTGGGCTCTTGGACAGCAACGTCTTGAGGATCTTCTCTGCTCGTTCCTCAGCGCGGCTTCATCGAGCGAGGAAATCGAACGAGAAATCATCGCTCAACCTGAACGAGCACGGAAAAGGTCTCCACAGGGGAAAAAATATTGGAAAAAACACATCGCCTCAATCCACCTCAAACCGTGAGTGGAAGAATGCTCAACCATCTACAGTATAATGAAAGCCTTCAAAACAATTGTTTTAAATATATCACCCAAGTCCTCATGAAAACACCATCAGAACATATCAAAACCATCCACCAACATCGGCGATCCGTGCTTCCGTCTTCGCCGCCTTGAGCTCCGCCACCACACCTTCGGCCGTCGACGTTGCATTGAAGCAGCGCTGCAGCAGTCCGTCGTCGGCTGCGAGGTGGGCCTTGGCCGTGTCGGGCTGGGCGCCAGCAGCCACCTTGGGTGGCGACGGGGTGCGGCTGGAAGCTGCAAATTCCCAGTTGTTGAATACCTGCAAGTGGAACTACTGAGCTTGCTACGTACTCAAAATCCTCCAAAATCCCTAGAGACGTACCGATATCAACTGAATAGTTCACAGAAAAACCTTATCAACTGCTTGACCTCAAGGTCTCAACATCTCCCAAAGCCTTCGAAGTAGACCTTCAGGTCTAGTCTCTAGATTTGCCTACATCTGCGATCAATCGCACCCACCCCTACACCTCATACACCCATCCCATGCCCATCCCATGCCCAATCCCCATTGGACCCCATCTACCGCACCTGGGAGATCACCTCCTCCGCCGCCTGAAGGCTGTCGCAGCTCTTCAGCTTGGCTTCCAACTCCGGCAGCTTCTCGGAGGGGCAAAAGTGCGTGGCAAGGCCCGAGTGGAGGCAATCCGCGGCACCCAAGCGCTCGCCTCACCCACGAGCAGATGGAGCACTGGAGCAGGAGGGGGGGCGTGAAGCGGGGTTGAAGCGTCAGCTCTGCTCGGTTTGGTCACTGGAGTCGGAAAGAGAACGGACACCGAGGGACACGAGGTCTGTGGCACAGGGTGTGAAGCTTCTTAAGCTTGGCAGGCTTCACATTTACCTCAAAGATCCAGCTATCAATGCCATTTCCTTGCCTGCCTTCTTCTCCCCAAAATTGACAAGTATACCGTGTGGGTTCACCTGCTCCTTGTCTCACCGCTCACCCACAGCGAAGTCGGTCCGTTTCAAGCGCTCAAACTTAACATTTCATCCACGTCCATCTCACTTATCTTCAACAGTTCCAAGAACACATTAAGTCCCAACACCTTAAGAACTTGTGTTTTCTTAATTTCGAGAAAACATCGGTGCCAACAGGAAAAAAGAAGAACATGTGCCAACATGCTAAACTGCCAAACAAAAACAACGAATTATGAACAAGGCCCACCAATGCCCATCATGTCCCACCTGTCTCACCAGTTCTGCCACGGCACCCGTGAGGCCGAGCATGAGCCCCACGTGTGCACCCGCCTTGAGCCTCGTCAAGGCCCAGGTGGCGCCCACATCGGGGAAGAGACCGATGCCCGTCTCCGGCATGGCGAACCTGGGACCGGTGCGACTTGCTTATGATCGAAGCACAAGCAAGGAAGGAAGGGAAAGGGATGTTCTCCAGGTTGTGTGGAATGTTGCCATTTTCTGGCGCTACATGATTTTGTTGTTCCCGTCTTGCTCGTTGCCAGCACAGATGTTGTTGGGCAGGCCTAAGCTTGTCTGGGACTGATGATGGAATGTCCAGCGGCCCTATATGGAGACAGGTTCTTGCTGTCTGGAACTGCCCGCAAATAGAAGAGCTGAAAAGTTCAGGGACACCGCACAGGTTATCAACTTTATGGTAAAATGGCTTCATAGCGGAAGATTCTGGCAAGCCGGCCAGTGGAACTGGTGCTCTGGCATGTAAGACCTTGCCATAGAACATCTCCAAGCAGAAAACACCATGACCAATCCTTGTTTGGGATATTCACCTACGGATGAATGCATGTTCCTGGAACTCCTTGGGAAACTCGGGTGGAACTCCGCCCCAAGCCTCCAAAGCCTGAGGACACGTCCCTGAGAACCCCGACAGCGTCTTCTCCGTGCAAACGCGGATCGGGCTGTGAATCGACAAACCAACCCCTCCGCCCATCACAATGCCATCCCAAAGCGCCACCTGGCGAACCGAGAGGCGAACAAACACAACAGACGCGACGAAACGAGCGGGCGGGGGCGGACCCATCGGACCCAATACCTAAACAAAAACATGTAGACTCTTGATGAATACAGCACCCAATTGAACTAGAAAATCCTCTTCATATGGGGGGTTCTATTTATCAAGAGCCTACATGAAAAACCCCTTGAAAAACCAGTAGAGAGGGGGAGAATCCCTGGGGGAGGTGGACCTGGTGGACGGCAAAAGCCTCCAAACTTGGGACGGCTTCTGATTGCGTATGATACTAGGGACCGACTGCAATCAGACTGCAATCAGACTGCAACAGGTCAAAGTCACAACAAGGCTGGATAAAAATCTCCACTATACGCCCTAGGCTGGGAAAATACATGAAAATAATTGAACATACTTATTTGAATGGCGAAAAGGCCTGAACAATCTTCTTCCGCTCGAAGAGAGTGGCGATCTGGTAATCCAACTCGTACTCGTCGTAGAAGAAATCCGCCGGATAGCTGGTTCCATCCAGCACTCCTCGTGGGAGTGCATATTTGAGGGCAAATGGAGAAGATCCAGATTGAGAAAACGTCTGTATCTGTATCTGCATATCCAACGATGGTGGAGTTTGACTAATGCGAATTTGGATGAATTTGAGGTTGTTCACGATTTCCAGCATATAGTCATGGATAGTCGGCGTTTGAGGTTAAAGGCATTGTGTTTGTGACTCACTTCTGCAACAGCTTTTGAGAAAGCTCTACGCACTGAATCTAACAAATGAAATCAAATAGGCAACCGGAAAATGCTCTCTCCCTCTCTGCTTTGTGGAGGAAAGTAGACTGAGTAGTCAGCCGTTTCACCGAACCGTCGGTCGAACCGCCAGCCACCTTGTCGGACCTCGGCCACATCACCGCCAGCGCACAGTGCTCGACCCTCACCGTCGAGCAGTAGAACGCGGAGTGTCTGTGGCAGCTCATGGTAGATCTGCCTCGAGCGAAGCGCAGGAACGAAACTCGTGAGTTTCGTTTCGGTTTCATCGAGTTTTCGGGAGTGACCTACTTTATCAATCCTATTATTGAGGCCTTGGGATCCCGCCACCCTCATTCCTGACGAGTCGCACCAGTCAGTCGTGGGGTGAGATCAACCCGGAGAACTTGGGTTGTTCCCAAGTGAGCTTCGAAAGGGCCAGGTGATATCTGATCTCTACACACTGGGTACCTTGGACTGGCCCCGTGTGCAGAACCGGTACCCTGCGTAAACGTCTCTTGAACTCATGGATCTTCATGAAGCCAGCACCACCTGCAGCTGGCAGCAAAACAGAACAATACAAACTCCTGCCCATCTTCACACTATATAATAACCCAGAGGCCGGGTCTGGCCCTGTCTGCTTTTCTCCGGAGTTTCCACAGACCGGGCACCCGGTTCTTCGCACCTGAGATCATGGATCATGGGCAGCGACAAAGAGTTGAGCTTCTCGGGTCTTCGCAAGGTCAATTTGGCCAAGCTCGGCCCTGCAGAGTCCAAAGAGACGAAGCCACTCGAGAAGGACCGCCATCCTTCGGAATCAGCGAAGATGCGACGGATCGACGATCGACAGCGCCGAGGTGTATGGGAGGATGGGACCTGGAGCTGGAAGTGATATGGACCCTGAGCTGAGCTTCCTACATCTTCATACCTTGTGTGTATGGCAAATGATGGAAAGCGGGAGAGATCTGGAAAGCCATGCAATAGAACATGAGCATCACAACGTTGCGAGGAACATCACAGCGTTTGGGACATGTAGACACCCAGTTCGATGTGAGACTGAAGACGGTTTAGAGTGCAAGGGCAAACAAGCATATCGATTTGGATCCCTTCTGAGATCCATCCTGAGTTGCCTCTGAAGGCCTGAAGGCTTCCCAAGTTTTGAAGAAATACCTTCATGACTAATTCATGCTTTAGTAAGGCGCCAACGCCAACCCACCAACGGCCACCAACGCCGCTTCGGTCAAGTGTCTCAGACCCAAGCGCGGCAATCTGCGCCAGCTCAACGCCATGGCGGCCCCCGCGGTCTCCGAAGGGCTGCCGCCGGTTCAAGTGAAATCGTCGGCTGAGCCGCGGTCTCCGTGCGAGGTGAACACGGTCGATCCCAAAACCAGTGGATTTTGTCTCACCCAGAAAGGAGACTACTAACAGGAGTCTGTGAGCATGTGGGTATGATTTTTGCGGGCATTCGTTGGAGTTGTTTGGGCACGCTCCCAAATCCATCCTCTTAATGCATTCTATTCACTGCTCACTTTGGCATTTGGATATTACAAGTAGCAGTAGTTTCCAGTGTATCCTGACAACGTCCCCTAAAAAAACAAGAGTTCAATAGAGTTCATACAGTTTTCTATAAATTCCAGACTCTCACAGATTTCCCAAACAAGACAAATATCTAGATCTGGACCCTGAGCCATCTCGCCTCTGGCTTCTCAAGGGATCGGTAGATCTCAGCCCACTGCTGTGCAGAGGACCTGCCGATGCTTTGAGACCGCTTTTTCCCCAAACCATTCCAGTCGCACCAGCCAGCAAACCCCAACTCCGCTGGTTGTTTGGTGATGAAAACATATCAAAAATTCACATTGAAAACACCAGTCACCACACTTGTCTGCTATGTATCCACCCACACACTGTGGATCGCCTCAGATGTTCTTCCTTGAAGGTGCCAACCTCGTGTTGCTTCCAGAGCGCCTGACGCGGCCGCGGGGCTCGCGGAGTCGATTTCGAGGACAAGGATCTCGCTTCGGCCATCGAAGGCTACCACTGTTGACCACCACTGTTGAGGTTCAAGTATCTCGGTAGGTAGTGAAGAGGTCTACTATGCAAAACGGATGCAAAACGTATATGCGTTTTAAGGGTTTTGCATCCATCTGAGCTTCTGAGTAGGTACTGTGGTGTCCCGAAAACATGTGTGACGTAAAATGTGTCCCACGACGTGTCAATGTTGCGAGGAAAAGAAGGTAAGAATTCTGGGCGGCCACGTCCAAGCTACAAGAATGTGCCGTCATTGATGATCACCGATGTCAGCAATATTGGTTGTCCGACCTATCCTCTTCATCCTCCCATCATCTCCCACCATTCGCACCTTAAAGGCTCCACTCTGCCCCAAAAGCGCCAGTGCGCTGGAGCAACGGAGCAACTCGACCGGCACCTGGCTGGCACTTCAACCACCTCTCACGAGAGGGCAAGGACCACCCTGACACCCCTCTCCCGCTGAATCTGTTCCACTTCACTTCCCCTCTGACACCGCCGCGGCGGGCGAATTTCGCAAGCACCTGGGGGAAGTAGCCCGTCTCCTCGCCATTGAGTGTGGACAAAGCGCCCTTCACCGGCAGCTCCGGCCAAACCTGTGGAAATGACCGTCAAATCCTCCATGTTCAAGTTCCATGTCGTTCCATGTTGGTTCAAAAGATGAAGAGGATCTTCATCTTAACTATTCCAACCTCACAAAACAAAAGCCTCACAGCAGTCTGCTCGGCTGACTGGCCAGTCACTGGCCTCTTTGGCTCGGCTAATAGCCATCAAGAGCTTGGGATCCTCAGGCCACAAGCTCTTGCAGGTCTCCACCTGGCGACGGGATCCCGAGAAACGTCCAGAAACGCGACCGGTCGACGCGTTCGCCATCGCCATCCCCATTCTTAGTCGTCCCATGCACCTACCATGCACCTCCCACGTCCTCACCAATACCGCAAGACCACCAAAAGTGGGCTCGCGCCGCGTCAAAACCGAATAACCCCAGCACCACATCCAGAATCCCCGCCCCCAAAAACCATGTCAGATGCACGAGGCTTTGCAGTGTCCCAGTTCCTTCCACAAGACGACTTTGCCATCCTCGCAAGGCGTCGGAGGCCGCCACGTAGCCCGCGATCTCCTGGCGGCTTTGCTGCGCGTGCAGCAAATCGGGCGTGCAAAAATGTGGGGGGTGCTGGGTCAGGAAAGAACCGGAAAAAGCATCTACGAGTACCAAGCTATCATCCAACACGCAGTTGCCTTAAGGGGTGGGTAGGGTGGGCATCTTGGTTGAAAAAACTGCTGCTTAAGGGCTGCAGAAGATGCGATGACATTCTATTCTGATGTGTAGAGTCTTGACAAGAGGGCCAAGCTCTCACCAAGCTTCTATCTTAGCCAGCAGTCTCTTCCAAACCTTTCCGCCTTCTATTTTCTGACCCGAGATCGAGAGAACCAGGTGAATCACCTTCATATCCATCAAGAACCCGCAAAATCACACTATCACCCTAGGGCGCCCTAGGGAGCTACGACATACCCCTAAGCTATCACCAAACAGCAACTCCATCACCCCACGGCGACGCCACGCGGCTCCAGGGCTTCGCAGCCGTCGGCGCGGCGGTCGGCGCCCGCCAGCTGGGTCACGGCGGTGATCTGAGTCGGCGACGACTCCGTCGGGTGGTGGTTCGGTCGCGGCCGCGAGCTGCTCGGGCAAGAAAGGTACCGAAAAAAAAAGGAATCAAGAGAATTCAGAGAATCCGGAGTTCTTTTCCGATTGATCTAGAGTGTCCTTCTGATTTGGCCAGAAACTGGAGCAACTGGCAACCCAAACACCGATGTGCAAAGGAACATCCGAAGCCATCTTATTAGTCCTCCGGCCTTTGGAGTTCAGGAGCAAGGACGCTACGAACGGGGATCCTGGCCTTCAATTGTTCGAGTGCCATATGAATCAGTTTGGGAGCACAAATCGCACATGCCATCTGATCCTCGCCCACCGGTCTGCCAGTTTGAGGCTCCCCAACCGAAAGCGTGCCATTCTCACACGCCGTCGCGAGCAGCTCCATCCCGATCTTTCCAACCTTGGTCCGGCGGCATTTGATCTATCCCAGCTGTACAGAATGTTGGTAAGGCAATTCTATAGAGATGGAAAACCAAGGAAAGAAGAAAACAAAATATAGCTCAGACCGGTATAGTTTCTCTGTTTGGGGATTCTCTTGGATGATTCGCAAAACTAACTAGTGACATTGACATTTAGTGACTATATTATGTAAAAAAAAACAGCTCGCGCCAAAATGCTTTTACAGAACAGTTCTTGCATACTTTAGCAGAACGATGATCATTCTGGCATGCGAAACTTTCATGAGAATGTGCGAGCTGCCATTAGAATATAGGGCCGATGTGGTCCACTTCATCGATAAAACCGAGGGATTTCGGTGTTTCACTGATGAGGGCCATGGCGTTGCCCTTCTTCGAGCTGTGGCAGGTCTGAGGCTATTCCACAAGACTACCCAACCAAGCCTGCAAGAAGAGACCAAGCAACCAAGACCAACCAAGCCAAGCGAAGGAAGAAAATCCGAGCATCCATTGTCCCTTATATGCTCCAGGAATCCCCCAAAAACACATCTTCGAATCAAAAAAACAACAAAAAGCTGACGGCTCGCTCACTCGCTCCACTCTTCGCTCCCGCACGGGGTCGATGCACTTGGCCAAGCGCTTCTGCAGATCTTCGGGCAGCTGCTCCTGCAGATCTTCCATCGAGGACCGCCGAGGACCGCCGAGGATCGGCGGCTCGAGCTGTCTCGTCCACATCACACAATGTTGCTGCGTGGAAATTGGATGACATTTTGTGGTCCAAACTTGGAAATTGGTGATCAAAGGCCGGAAACTTCGTGCTCAAAGGTGGAACCAGGGAGGTGAGGACAGGTCAGGAAAGTCTCTAAGCTGCCTTGCCTGGCTGCCTGCCGCTGCATCTGTGACCCCAAACTCTTCCGTTAACTCCCGCAAACGGGCGTGAACGCTATATGTAAAGCGATGCCGTCCAACACAGATCTCCGATCTCCTGCGCCTGATCAAACCAACGCAGCACTCGAGACCAGGACAACCTCCCCCGGCCAAGTCCGGGCGTCGACCGGCGCCGAGGGATCAGGTGGATTGGACCGAGGTTGGAGGGAAAGAAAGGGGACGGGGGAAGGAGCTGGACCGGTCAACCTCAGTTTCGGAACTGGAGAGGTCGATGATGGGTCAGTGTCTTTGTGTAACATGGTGAGTTCGATGCGTCTAAAAATCTCGACGTGCAAGCTGAGCTGATGGTTTTAGACCCAAAAACGGCCAATCGCCCACTCATCTCATCTCATCTCATCCCTATTCCACCCTCCAAACTCGGTCTCCGGACAAATCCAACTTCAGCACGTCCAGCAGTTCCATCTCCTTGGGATCCTTCGCCTCCTTCAGATCTTTTCGCTCCTTGAATCCGCCTGCGGTACCCGGCAGGATGTGCTCGGGCCGCTCGGGCTTCTTCTTGGGCTCCAAGGAGATCTCCAAGGCCACGGCCACCAACTCTGCCTCGAAGCCGCCAGAGAATCAACGAGAGACGCGAAACGCACAAGACGGAGGAGGTCTTTGAACGGTGCGATGTTGCTTTAATAAGGCAGGGGTGGCACACTAAGAGCGCCCTGCTTGTCAAGCACTGAGGCTTGACGAGCCCACAAAACCTGGCGTGTTACACGCACTATTTCTATCTACTCGCGGCCTGCTTGTTCTTGTACACATGGCAATTCAACCTTCATACTCCGTGTCTCATCCCTTCTCCCAGCGGACCTGAGCTCGGCTCACGTTCTGCTCCTGCACGCGAGAGGTCGGCTCACGGCACAAAACCTTCCCACAATAATAGTAGATCAATATACCCACTTTGAGCCCTTGGACCCGCCTATCACTTGACCTCTGGAGAAAACCCAGGTTGTAGGCCCAGGTTGTACGCCCCAAAAACATCTGGAGGAAAACTATTTGAAAGCAGGTTTCACCCTGAGAATGCGAATGCTTCTCCAGCATCTTCCACACGAGAAGTGGCACGCCCCAGTCGCATCCGCCTTCGCACCTCCGCTCTCGCGGATCCGGATCCGTGCGCCTCGTCCGTCAAGCCCAAGGCCTGAGTCACACCCAGTCGCACCGAACCAGTCCTTTGGACCTCTGGTGCCACACCAGTCAGACTGGTGATACGTGGCGCAGATCGGATCGACCTTTGATACGTACCCACCGGGCCGACCGGTGATGCGAGGATCTCGGTGAAAATGATAGGGATGATCCAAATTCGCTGATCCAGCGAGGCAGCACTAGGTAGGGCTTGGGGCTGGTCTCTCCCGGCAAACTGGCAATGTTGACCATCCTTTCAGCCAAAATTGACGATCCTAGGACAAAGATATACAGTAACTTCTGTCTGTTCATGCTGGGTAAGGAGACCTGCCAATCCGACTCTACCCCGAAACTCAAACAAACACCCTCAGAAGATCATGACAATGGTTTGAGATCTTCAACTCTGTATAACAAACCCCGAGTCAAATGAATCCATGATACCCAGGTCAAACTGTACATTTGCCTTCTCCTTTCCTGGGGTATTTTTACAATGAAGAGGTGCTTATAGGCGAGCTAGGGTCAGTTCCAGTTCCAGGTGCTCCCAGAAGCCCAAGCTCACTGAGAGGCCATGCCTGGATGTAGAGCTCCATAGCTCCATCCACCAACCAGACCTAGACTTATATAGACCTTCCATGACCTCCCAAAAGACCCAAAAGGGGTCTAAGAAGTGTCCAATCAGGGAAGCCTAGTTCAAGCCTAGTTCAAGCCTAGCCTTTCGTTGGTGTCTTTGTTTCCCGGCTACTCCGCCCCACCCGCCTCGATGACCCGCCGCAGTGGCAGCTCAGAAGCGACCCGGCCTGAGCGTGGCTGACCGGTCAGCCACGCCGCAATACTGTGCGTTTGGAGAATGAACACTTTGGGGTGCCTAAGTACCAGGAACAAGTTGAAACCAGTTGAATGGTCATTTCTGGGTCTTCATTGTTCTATATGTGTGTGCCTATCTGCAAATTCAATGCGTTGGTTCTCGTAGGTTTGGACGTGATGAAACTCAAAGCGGCCCCGAAACTGGACCACATGTCTCAGGTACAGCTTAAGCAATGCGCTGGAGCACACAGTCTTGGGGCGGTTGGGAGGTGGGCGCCCCAAAACAAATGAGGAAGAAAGAAGCCTCAGGCCGTAGGCGCCGCAGGCCGTGAATATCTCACAACTTGGTGATATTTGGCCGGGAACATGCACGTACGGGACACATTCAAACAGAAACCTGAAGCTGTTCAAATATGTTTGGATGAAAGGTGACAGCAGGTGACAGCATGAAAATAACACCCCAGGTACAGTAACATCTGAGTGGATGGTTAAGGGTGTGTCTTCAGGTTGGGCTGATTACACACACTTCAAAAGGGTCGTACCTTAACAGGGTTGTGAGTATCACTTGTGGACTACCAGTCGCTTCATATATCCCCAGCATCTGCATCCACCAGGCCGTTCCGCCCGTAGCCGTCCACCAGCGACAGCTTGAAAAGACCAAACGGCCGACCTCCACCCACCAGCTGAGAAGCGGAGCGCCACCACCAAGCTCTTGCGTAGCTCTGGGCCGAAGTGATCCGCCAAGCGATGCTGTTGGAGGAACCAGCCACGGGGCTCCTGCGACACGCGACCGTGCAGGCGGCCGTGCAGGCGACCGTGCAGACCGTTGTTGGTTGTGGACAGGGGAAATGCAGGGAGTGCTTGATGGGATTTGCTGCAAGAGAGATGTTTCTTGTGTGCGGTTCAGCTCTTTGAAGATCTGTAGGTTTACAATGGGTCTTGAAATACTCATGCAGCTCATCAGCAAGTCATATGAGGCACACACAGCTCTTGGCAAACAAGCACCGAAGAGATAGCTCCAACTACTAAACCACACAATAAGCTACCCAACAACCACTACCACCCTACAATTACCCCCAAACAAACCCAACTTAACCCAACATGGTATTTGATTCTGGAGAGGATCCCCATCTGACACCAAGCTGGGCCAAGTTGCGATGCCATCTCCGATGAGGTGCTCCAAAAGCAGATCCTCCAAGCTGCTTGGGTTAAGCAAATCAGGTGCTGAAGCAAGACAATCACAATGATCATCACCATGTCAACGAAAAGATGCTGAAGAAGGTTGGAAAAGCAAAGAGTTTGGCCAGCAATCACCCAGATGTTTGCTCACTAAGCTGGCAGATCTCCTCCTTTGTAGTGTCTCTCTACTCTTTGCCCTTCCAAGATTGCCCATCATGACTGACAGCAAAAGCTAGGTGGTCTTGAGTCGAAAAACTGCACTCTACCAAACCAACATGAGGACACCAGGACCATGATGTGCCGAAAACGAATACACCTGGACACCTAAACCATGGTCTAAATGCTGTTGCTCTAAACCATCCTGTGTTATGTTGGCTTGGGGGTCCCATGTTGGTTGTTTTTTGACCCCTGCTGAGCATCGAAGACGCGTCAATGCCCAGTCTGCTCGTCCTCACGTTTCAGATGCCACCAATTCACGCCACCCTTCAAGGGCAACCTTCGTCCCGGTGGATCTGTGGGTCCTCCAACAACCAGGGAAGTCCTCCAGAGCCGCCATCGCGAAGCTCTTGGTCCCTGAGGTGAGAAAGCTCTGAGGTTGGTGCTTCTGGATCCTTTCAGACTTGGCAAAACGCCTGGGAAACGAAATCCTACGTCCTCACCAGTCTGGCTTTGGGCTGGTGCGTTGGATGCTTTGGGCTGCATCCTGCCATGTACAGCACTCCTACAAGTACTGACACTGAGAAGAGGAACCTCAGAATCCCTAGATCTGCAAGACTGATTGACATTCAGATCGTTCAGTGTGGGTGCTCTTTCCCAAAGGATGGTGGAAAACTGTCAGAACTTCAGTTAACCTCAGGCGCAGTTGATGTTCAAGTGTGAACCTACCCTGTTGTTTCCATCTCCCGGTTCCTCTTCAAGGTCCAAAATCCTGATTGATGAATACATGAGCCTTAGGTCCATTCATTCCTTGGGCACCCTCATAGAAGCTTCTCCCCGGGTCTGCCGGGAAGTCAGACCGCGTCTCTGACGCCCCGCCCCGGTCCAAGCTTCCCGAGTTCGGCCAGGCGTCAGGGGCCGCAGGGTGTCCATCAACCTCGGGCACTTCGGGGTTGGAACGGGGAAGAAGGGAGGCTGGAGCTGGAGGCAGCTGGAGGTAGCTGGAGGTAGCTGGAGGCTTGGAGCATGGAGAACAACTTTCATGTAGCAGCATTATAGATGAAATGCTATATTAATTGCCAACCAAGGAACACGTGTCCCAAAACATGATTCATCATGATTCTCATGTAGCAGCTTGACGTGAAAATCATCTCAACAGCTTGGTTCACTCTGCTTCAGCCATGATCTCATGCATCAACCTCAAATGCTTTAAGGTGTTTTTCCCAGCAGCGGCGAACAAAAGCCACGAGTGGCTCACAGTCTCAGAAATACTTTCCAGAGAGAACCCTGTTGGGAGTCCACCAAATGCTGGCAACGGCTCTGCAATAGATCCTCATCCGCCTCATCCCTAGATCCGTATCATCCAGGAAGACAACTCTCCACCCCACTGCTCCGTGGCACCACTGAGCGAAGGCCGCTGCGAGCATTGGATCATCCGCACCACGGTCTTGCAGCTCCTGGCAGGTACAGTCGGGCATTTTCCACGGAAGCTCGCAGCCGCTTGTTCACGGAGAACCAAAAACCATCCTCCTGGCGCCACATGCAACCCTTGGTACAAATATGGCGTTCGAAACCGCGTGGTTCGTGGAACGGAGAGAATCTCTTCGAATCTCCGGTAGCGCCACATCGATGCTCGGTCCCCCCCGGGGTCTTCTGATCCTCGGTCCCCGACGCGTCCTGACCGCCCCCGGCCGCCCCAGCACCGGTCCTTGGCGATGCGCGTGAAGCTGCTGCGGACCTCGGGTGGAGACCGGTGCGGAACGGGCGCGGAACGGGCGGAACAGTCCCACCCGGTGCGGTTGGAGAGGGTCTCGGAGTGGGAGGAGAAAGGGGCCTGGAATGGCAGGGCGTCCGGTCGGAAGCCTGGTGATCTAGGTTGATAGGAATGAGAGGAATGACGGAAAGCTTGTTTTGTCCGAGTGATGCAGGGTAGTCAGAAAAGAGTGGGAGATAGTCAGGATGGCTTCTTCCGGGATAGGGATGCCCATATATATATACAATAGATTCACTGGATAGGTGAAAGCCCTCATTCTCGAATACTGTTGGTATAGTCGTGCTTGCCCAGTGAAGGTCGAGATGACTTTTCCTTGAACCCCGAGAAATAAAGCAATGGAACATGACCCTGGTCCACTACTGTTGGAGGGAGAGATCTCCTATCACTACCTAGTCCAGGTGGTGCAGGATTTCTTCCACCTCTGTAATTGCGGATCGATGTGTCCATTATGTCCATAACATGTTATACACTACAACCACTATACTATACTATAGACGAACTCAAAAGTCCCTCATCCGTACACCACAACACATTCCTCCCCCACCCCATACACCTTCCTTCCGGACCGTTCCGAGACATCGCGTGGGTCCGGTGCCCCCGGCGTAGCGCCGCAGCGCCCAGCGCACCATGCAGAGATGCATCGGGCGTTCCGGGAAGCCTCGGTGGAATCCGCACATCACGCGACACATCACTCAAACCATGCGGTTTGGTCGTACCATGCAAAAACATACAAAAAACACCAAAAGCTTGAGTTTTGTCCACCACCAAAAACACATGCGGTTTTTTGGTAAACGACCAAAAACATACAAAACCACCACATTGGTCACATTGGTCACGGTGACACTGTTCCACCATGTGAAACTTGTTGCACACAAGTTGTTTCACATGACTGTTCCGGCAGTTTGTCCACTCGATCTGCACTGGGTGATGGCAAGTCAATGGCGAGTTGGCTCAAAAAATGATAAGTGCAAAACTGGAACCACAAATGACCACAAACCACAGATTCTGAGTCGGCATTTACCAACCAATGGAGTCATGTGTTGTTTTGTGTGGGTACCAAAACATTTGGACCCCAAGTGTCTGTTGTTTTGTCGGCAAAAGGGTCGCCATGCCCCATTCATTGCTGATTCCAGAAACCCAATCGAATCCAAGTGCGTGTCCCTCATACTTTTGCTTGTTCGTTTCACTGCTGCCAGAGTGTGAACCCTGATCCCGTCTTGGAAGAGATAGCAGGGAGTGAAAAAGCATGCTCAACAAGGACATTGACACTGCGCATCCTGAGAAAATTCTGGGCCCCGACATCTGCTGGCCCGTTTAGCACGCCCTACCTTCCCCTCAAGCAAAAAGAAAAACCACCGTGCACATGCAAGCAGCAACTGCGCAAGGTCTCGAAGAGACCCACCAGAGCTGGCATAAAGCCCACCTCCGTTCGGAGCTGTCGATGGTGAGTGGCACCAAGGATCGAAACGAGAATTCTACAAGCAACAGTACAACTGTATATAGGCTTGATATGAAACCTCATGTCGTGTCCGTTTGCTAGCATTTTTCACGAGGACAAATGCATTTCAATCCTGTAATTTAGTTACGTAATTACTGTATTTGAGAGGTTGTTTGGATTGTTTCCACTCTGGGCACTGTTTCTAGGTACCCACCGACCACCATCGGAAATGCTTTCAACCCATTCCACCTCTCTCCCCCCTCCCCATTCCTCCGCCCCGCCGGAATGGCGTGGAAACCGGGAACGGCCGTCTCCGCGCCTGCCGTGCAAACCAAACTCCATCAACGCAGTTGACCGCCGCCTCCATGGACAAGAAGCCGCCTGCGAGGAGCTGAAGAGCTGGATCCGCATGGACACGGTGTCGATGCTCTCGGGATCAGGTCGCTTTTGGTTCAATAAGACAAGGCCGAACATGCTGCAGAAGGATCTGCAAGTTGAAGTGGCTCCATACCAGCATGATCTTCTTGGCAAAGAAGGAACAAATATTGCTTTACCTTATCTTGTTCTAGTTCTTGTTGTGTTTTCCTTGTTTCCAGACAGACAAATCAAAGAGGAGAGAATCTGATCCGTAGATGGCCTTGGGTATCACCTGTTGGGAGGTAGCATTCAAAGGTGGAACGCGCAAACTGCTCACACGTTCCTCCAAAAGTAAGGGAATTAAATAAACAGAGGTCCACCCTCCTATTCAAGATGAGTGCATGAAGCGGAAGGTCACAGTCAAAACGTAAGAAGTTAAGAGCAGCTCCTCTTGCAGCTCCACACATGTTGGTTCTCAAGCTGGCAGCCTCTCACCACCTCCGACAGAAGGGAAAGCAATAATACCTCGATCAATGGCAATAGTTGGCAGGTCCGATCATCTGATCATCCTCGACTAGAAATCATTTAAACCACCCCATACCATCACTCATAAATACGTCCACCCCGTCCAAACCTCCATAACCTCCATGTCAACTCCACTTCCCTTCATTCCACCTGTTCCACGGACTTCTTCCTCCCCATCGTGGCAAAAGTCACCCACTCCAGCCGCCCCAGTTAGCTGCCCTGGCCCCAACTCGCCTGCTGCCATGCGCTGCAAAGCTTCCAGGTCCTTGTGCTGAAAGGGTCTCCCTTCTGACCTCCGGAGTAGCGGAGTGGCGACGGTGACGTCATTTTTGGAAGGGTCATCTGAGGAAGGCGACGAAGCGAACGGATAGAACGCCATTGTTATTGCCAAAGAAACGGGACCAAACAGCGACCAAACAGCAGGATGAATGGAATGGGGGAATGCATTGAACATTGAGAATCCAAGTACAAACTGCTTGATCTACGGAATTAGGGGTATTACATCTTTCCCTTGACAAGCTCTTGCCCCGCTGCAGCCCTCCACCCCAACCTCCAATCAAAGAATCCAGCTGATTTTTCATAGGCCAAGTAGCTGCACGCAAGGTGGCCAGAAGTAGCTGGTCAACTTGATTTGCAAGTCCTGCCAGCAGTCTGCCCCTCCTCTCATCATGTCCTTCGGAACTTTGTCAACATGCCACCAGATGGGACCTGTTCCTGCTTGGAGAGCATGGAACATGAGCGGTCGTTGAGCAAAACCGGCACAAAACTCTGGACATTACACCTTAACATGGTTGCCTGGATGCTGCTAACTTTTGTCTTGGACACCACCCTGGACATTACACCTTAACATGGTTGCCTGGACGCTGCTAACTTTTCTCTTGGACACCACCGTGTTGCTGGTCTTTGACACCTCTCAGGCCAAACCGACCAAATCTAATAATCAAGGATCAAACATGTTCAGCAGACAATATTCTGCCATATTCTGCCTTCACCAACCAGGTGCTTTCTGCTACCATGTTGTTCATCCCTGAGCCACACCGCAACAATGTCAAACTCTTCCACAGATCTTCCTCCCAACACCACCTGGCCGAGTCTCTGCTCATGCGCCACGGCCGACACAGTGATCACGCGTATATGAGTGGTGACCTAATGTAGACTCTTGATTCTTAAGCCCACCCCAATTGAATGCACGAACTTGTGGACTGTCTCCAGCGCGCGCCCGAAGGTGGGTGTAAAGCATGGTCTGACCCCCTACGGTGACCAAAAAAATGTACACGATCTACGAACAACATGGTCTGACCCCTACGGTGACCAAAATATGTACACGATTTATGAACAAGCTACGAACAGGCATGTGCGAACGAAGGGGCAAAACGGCAACAGTAAATGAGTCACTGTGGGGATTACCATGTCGATGTCAGGTGGCAATAAAGTCAGAGTAACCTCCACGGGCCCTACCCTAACCACACCATATTCCGAATTGCAATGCGCAACCTGCAGGAAGGCATCTGATTGGGGCCAGGATGTAAGACATCGTCGAAGCTTTTCTTGCGAAACATAATGTAGCGGATATGTTGGGTAAGCTTTTCTCTTTTGGATAGCAGAATTTTTGGCCATTGTGGCCAGGGCTGTACAGAGATCTCGGTCGGCAATGGTGTTGGTTCCACTTCATTGTTACGGAATGGTGGTTCATGTGGCATTGTAAGAACAAGATTCTGTAGATAACAATATGTTTCCTGCGGGTTAGGGAGTTGCTGGAAATTGGTACCTGGAAAATCCCAGGCGGGTAAGGCTAGAGACGCCTTGTTTCTTCTAGGTCGGCAGGATCTTTGCGCGTGAGAAAGTTTGCAGGTGTTTGACAATAAGACGTCAGGTTCTCAACTGGTTGAATGCGTCACTTCATATCATTATATTCCAGAGGTCGAGTACCTTCCTTGTCGGAAATTCGGACAGGTAAAAACCTGCCCATCCACAACATAAGGATACTGTCAGTTCTGTCCAAGAGATTCCCGGATCCTGTGAATTTGGCCACTTTAGGGGGTTGCAATATGACCAGACTAGTCTTGCGTAGTTACAGCCCCAAAGGCATGACCAAAAGACCACCCGGTGAGGTTCGGGGAGAAGTTCAAACTGGTCACCAGATACAGACCCGTCACGCAGCACAGCTATCTGTGTTGCGGGTATTTTGCGTACGCTCAGGAGTGGTTGTATGTTGAGATGTTGCATCGGATGTGTGAATTTACCTCCAATGTTGTCATTCGTTCGCAAGACAGGTCTAGAATATACGTACTGATAAATCTTGGTCAGCATGGTTCGCTGAGATCTATAGTGATTACGGATATGGAACGCTTCTTCCTGGGACCTGGCATCTTCAAGTTTAAGGTGTGATTTGATCTTAAAGGCATGGAATCTTTGCGCATTCCATGCTACGCACAGGCGCTCTATTATATCCCAGAGGTCTCTTTTATGCGGACTGTCGTGAATTGTACCTGCTTCGATATGGGTAAGAACATTAATAGCGAAGTCGGAGTCTGTATAAAAAGACACTGTGCAACCATCATCTGGCTCTTGGGCTTGTTCTGCTGCGATGAGGACGTCGTATATTTCTGCTCGGTTAATGGTTTGGTGTCCTGGACAGTGTCCTGTGGCAAGAACTGGGTTGGTATCTATGGCTGATTTACGAATGACGATTGCCCATGCTGCCCTTGAAACAAAAGGGTCGGTTGAGTGATCACATGAACCATCTGTGTAGATTGTATCACCCTGCTGAATATCAAGGCCAGGATTGATATGTATTGTCTAGCATCTGTGGTGCATTGCTTGTCTGGCAATTGGCATATTTGGTGTATGCACTGGCAGCGGGAACCAGCACAAGTGTGCATGGGTTTGCCTGTATTGAACGGCTTCAGGATGCTTGTTTCGAACTGCTTGAAGTGTGGGCAATCCAGAAGGAAATGCTTATTTGAGTCATGCTCATTGCAAAATTGGCAGTTGGGGTTGCGCTGCGCATTCCATAGGGCAATGACACCATTAGATTGCCATCCCGCTGTCAGGGGCGAGAACCCTTCTCAGGAGTCGAAGGGGAGATCAGGAACCCCTTTTCTATGTGAAATTTCCTTATGGCAGTACCAGTCCCACGCTATGCGGATGTCTGGAATGTCGGAGGCTGACACGCAAACCACCTGGGCCTAGCAATGTAGCGTTGGCTGATCTGATGCTGGGCTGTGGATCTGACCATGGAAATTACGGATATAATTGACAAACTGGGTGGCAAGGGTGGGGTGGTATAAGAAGAAACGTCTCAGGGTTGTATGCAAATCTGAGAGCACGTAAAGCATGGGGTCCTGGACTCTGGACCGTAGTAGCTTCTCTGCGGAGATTAGCGAAGTGTTTATCACCTATGGCTGTCCCCAATGCTCCGTAAAAGGTGGCTGGCCAAATGGCAGTTTGGATCTTCTCTGCGCGCTCTTCCAGGCTGAGGTTAAGCTTTCGGAGTCTATTGCATTTAGCAATCGCGTTGTCTATTTTATCTCGCAGGGATCCCAACACGATTTGATTTGTGTAGGAAAATATTCATCCGAGGTCCTGAACATGGTTTGTAATGGTAAGCTTGAATCCGGGTGTGAGCATCAATTGCGATACATCTGTCCAAAATTGTCGAAACTGCTTGGTGGTCGCCCAGCCCCATGACTTGCTGAAATCTATTTCATCCTTAGATCGTGGACCAGGTTTAGGATCTTAATCATGGCCGCTTTCCCTTTCGGAGGTAGCCATAAACGACCAATTGTCTGCGTCGCGTGTGCATATGGGAAAAGCTTTGGGCGTCGGAGGGCTTGGTGGAAAACGTAGCTTAGCGCTACTATTCCGACAACAGACATCGAATCCCCTGCTGGAAGACCTGTAGTCGAAAGGGCCGCAAGACCAATGGCTGTGCCACACTTTAGATAATTTCTTTAGGGACTTAAACCAAAAGTCACTGATATAGTGGGGAATGCCCAGTAGGCAAAACACATGCCTGACAACACGACGGGGTATGAGGTTGAATGCTTTTACTATAGGTCCATTGTCCAGCCACACCATGCTGTGCGATGGGTCAACTTGCAAAAGTTGTACCAAACTCAAATCTCTTGCGGAACGGTGTGGCAATCCGCCGCTAATTTCTGGAGGCCATGTAGCTGTCCATTGTTTCAAGACTTGGTCGGCGACAAGCTTAGACGTTAGACGTGCCAAGAAACCTAAAATGGTGATGGGTCTCCCGCCTGATATGGACTCTGGCTTAGTTTTTTTAGCAAATATCAGGGTGCTTGCATAGAATATGAAGTGTGGCCGTGGCTCCAAATAGCCGAAAGGATGCCTGACAAATCGGAAACCATGTCCCACGTTAGAACCTGGAGTTCCTCTGAATGCCATCCGTCAATACCTATGGCTTTGAAGGGTTTAAGCCTGTGGATCGATTCCCACAAACTGCCGGGGTCATCGATTTTGATGGGTTGAAACAGGTCTGCCCAAGGCTCGTCTGATTCCTGGTCGTGCTTTGAATCTCTTTGTGGCCAGTACTTATGGAAAGCCTCAGACATTGGTTGAATTGTATATGCGTGTGTTCAGACAACAGTTTTGCTTGTGCTGGAAGTTCCCCTTGGATATTATGTAGTGTGAGGCGAGTATTTTGGCATGCGGCTACTTCTGCTGTGCGCTGCCAGCAGTGACTGGCAGGGGCACTGGCATGCGCACAATCGTGTGACCACGGCGGCTTCTACACAAGGTGGCATCTGTCTCATGTTTCACAGGTATGTCATGCAATAACTCTGCTCTTTACCTTTAATAAAGCGGTATGCTGTATGCTTGTGCGTTATTCGTGTGTGCCAAGGCGAAGGCAATCGAGTGCTTCTTATGGTGGCGTCGTAGATGAGCTTCCTGTCTGGCATATGCATCGGATTGAATTTTGTAATGCTATAGGCATCTTGCAACCATTCTGTTGATGGAGTATTGTCAGTATTGTCTGGGACACAGTGAACGAAATCAAACCCAAGAAGCCATGCGGCCCAAGATCTACCGAAGCCTTGTGCTCGTTTGATTGCTTCTCACTCGAGTTGCAATTGTTGTAAAAGTTGTGTCTTGTTGCGCTGACGGCTGATTTTCTGACTGTGTCGTAGTAAGGACGCTAAGCGCCTCACCTGCCCCACTTTAAGTCGTGCCTTACATGATGTGACCTCTGTAGGTGGTTCATAGGCTCTAGTCCGGTCGATCTTGATCGACTTTGGTGCCACGTGAGAAACATATATTTGGTGGGTCTGCATCTGCCGAAGTATTTTTTACCTAGGCATGGTGTAGGGAACCGCATGGGGTCTGCAGTATGTTGTTCACTAGCTCAACCCTTGTTGGGCCTTGTTTTCCCTTTGGCGCTTGCATTGCACGGTCCCCCCGATTTGTGGGGAGCTTGGGAGCGCCGTGGTGAGGAGCGCTTGGGGCTTGTTGGCTCTTGCTGGTCCAGCCGAAAGTCATGAAAAGGGTGGGGAGCCAATCGGAGCCTATATTGACATGCACCCCCCAGGAGGTTGCCCGTTATTGGGTTGTGGCCAAAATGTCACAAAGAACGACGCCGGTTGACAATCATCTTTTCGTCCATGTTTTCGACCACAGTGTCCGGGACCCTGCTAGTAAGCCGGCGCCTACTGTTCTGAGCACAGGACTACTGGACCCATGTCACTGAACATGGAACTTTTGTGGTTCGAACTCAAGCCTCCGGGAACAATAAAGCATCGCTTCTTGTTGTTAAAAACTACTAATTTTGCAACTGTGATGCCACCGTGTGGTCTTGCAGAGCGTCCTGGAAGCATTTGATGAAATTGAACGACCTCTTCATACGGGGGTCTATCTATCAAGAGTCTACATTACTGATACAATAATTGAATCTACTGAAACAGCCCTCTCCTTCCGATCCACCCCCCCGCCTGCGTCAACCGTTCCCCCGTCATCCGCATCAACTTCTCCGCGCAGGAGAGCGACGGCGCCATGCTCAGCAGCTCCGCGCTGAAGGCCAGCGCCTCGCGCGGACGTCGCGCAAATGACTTCGCTACGAAGGTGGAGTAGTGACGGATGGGTCTGACCCAAGAAATTTGGCAGAAGACACTGCCAAGACATATGTTCCACAAGAAATATATCTGCGGTCCAATCAATGACACGTTGATTGAAGAAAATTTACAAAGACGCATTCTGCAAAGGCCCAGAACCAAGCTGGTTGTTTAGTCGCGTGATCAACCTGAGCATGTCACCCTCTCTTTTCCTGTGGAGTTCGCACCAAACAGCAAAAGAATGCTTACGCTCCGACTCACCAAGAAAGGAAGTGGCACAAATCACCAAAGCTCAAACCAAGGTCCCAGACCCGCTACCTGCCGCTTTCTGCATTCGGCTTTCGGCAGCTCCGTGTGTTGGTCCGAAGCACACTGGACGCTCAGTCCTCGCGCGGTCACGTCGTGCGGTCGTCTCCAGCCTCCTTGCCGGCGCGGGACAACTCCTGGTCGAAGCGTTCCTCGCAGAGCGCGCGCCTCGGTGACGGGTCTAGGCGTCGGTGGTACTATCTTGACCATGACCGGTCCTCAGCCTGAACATCAAAACAGTCCCTTTTTATTGTTTTGTCTTATTGAAGTCATCAGGAACCATCCCAAAAAGAAAGCTGCTTGCATAGGTGCTTGGTACTTCGGACGTGGAGGCAAACATCAAGGCGTCGTTTGTCGGGGTTGATGAGGCGTTTTGACTGGTGGTGTTCTATAAATATAGTAGGTAGACCAAGACCTGTTCGGAAGTGCTCCGTGTGGAGTGCAAAGGTCCGCCTAAAGGGACCCGAGGTGTGAAAAAAAGGGTTTTGTCGCATCCTCTGACTCGTCTTTGACTCAGAGTGGGTGTTCTTCTCCTCCAACTCTGCCATCACAATTTCTCCCCTCCCCCCTGCGCCGGATGTGGGTGGGGCACCTGGTGGCTGCCACGGTGTTCAAAGGCCCTCCAAGCAACTCCAGAACCTGCACATCGACAAGAAAAGTGAGCGGACGTCAAATCCTCGGTGGGCTTCGGCAAGGGTCTTGAAATCACAATGGTGCCATGATTACCTATAAGATCCTATAAGCAGCCCAAGTAATTAAAACCGTGGTTGCAAAAGAAGAGGAAAAAGACTCAATGTGTGATCTAAAAGGCACTATAAGTTGCCACCTTCCAATTCGTTTTAAACAAAACACTGTTTACCACTGCGCTCTCAAACCGTCCCCATCAGCGCACGCTTTCTTCGCTTCATCACCTACCTCGGTCCAGGCTGCCCTCAAGCGCGAGGCTCGTTGTTGCGCCAAGGACGCTGAGTGCTCCAAGGTCTGGGCAGCACGTGCCACCTGTGCGATCGACGCGATTGGACCACCCAGATGAGGCTCCTTACCCAGCTCCCTTCGCTTGAGGACTGGAGGGTGGGTTTGGAGAATCAAGTGCCCTAGCTTCCGAGTAATTGAAGCCACCAGAGGGTATGTTTTCGGGTTGCAAACTTACACACCCCAACACGCGCAACATATTTAGGAAGTGGCAAACTGCTTGTACGATGGTCTTCTTCTGAAACACCTCTGGCCGGTTCTCTGGCGTTTTCGTCACTCCCAGAACAAACCCTTCTCAGTGATGATTGCTCCAGGCATTTTGAACAACTGTCTAGAACCCTCGCACGTATTAAAGCACCATCTCCATCCATCCCAAGGAAGAATCTGAAATCATCGGTGGTCTTGGTCCTCAAGAATGCATCAAAGAGGCCGATCCTGAGGCGTCCCACCATTTTGCCTCGTGGCATCCCACACCCTTCCGGTGCATCACGTGGTCTCGTCCGGTCACCGGTTCCTCCGTCCGACGGTTGGATGGCCTCCGATTGCCTCAAGGCTTTCATCACCAGGCGTCGAACGAGCTTCCCATCCACCACCAACAGGGAGCCATCACCTGAGATAGTGAAGGGAACTTTCAGTGTGCACGTGTTTGATATACTTCGTGTTTGCATCTTGTTTGTTGCTTCCCCCCAGTGGGAAAAAGGAACGCGCTTTATATTATGGTGTTTATTCATTTTTTGGAGCCAGCAGTATGAAGATGAGTTAATTACGTGTTTTTTGCTGATGGTTTTGGTGATGAGTGCGAAGTTCCCAGCCGTTAATAGACGCAGTGACAGGTTGACGAAACGCGTTGAGGTGGATGGCCGCTGTGAACCGTGAGGTCTTTCCGAATCCCCAGCGACACCGGTGTCGGAGTGGGATCGTAATGTGTCGAAAGGGATGGATCACGGAGAAACGCACCGCGTTAGGATTCCTCTGTTTCTATACTACCAGGGGCCCCACAAACCATCAAAAACCAGGTTTTCCCTAGCAAAAAACATGGTTGTTGCATGTGAAAACCTTTCTTTTTCATGGTTTTGAGGGCCCCTGGTACTTCTTGAGTGAACAAACAGACTCACCTGGCGGCCTGGCGTGAGCCTGGAGCTTCTTCCCTTCCTGCCGTTGTTCGAGCCGATCAGCCAAGGTACTCAGCACAAGCTGCTGACCCAATGCTGAGAAGCGGGCCTAGCCGGTGCTCTGGAAGACCGGAATCTCTCCGGCCCTATAGAACGTGACATGCGAACGCACGAGTCATCTCATCGTCCAGGTGACGAAGATTCGCCTTCTTCCCAGTTAACTCTTACATAGATGTTCCGCGGCCTTTGATGGTTCAACTGTTCAACATCAAAAGCCTTGTCAAGTATTTACCCATCAGCCCGAACCCTCGCACGCCCGAACCTGGCCTCGGCGCCCAGACCGTCTACCTGGCCACGGCTCATGGCCTGACCCGCCACCACGGAGCTTTTTCCCTTGGAATCCTTGGGCGTGCGGAAGAAGAGCGCCAAGAAAGAGAAGTTCGGTGGAAAGATGGTCCCCACCTGCCGAACCACCCTGAGAAGGAGAAGCCCTTGGTTCAGTACTTGCTTCTGTTTTGGGTGTCCAGGTAATTTTTTTTGCGGCTTGTCTTACATTCTTACATCAGAGCTGAGGGTTGAAGGCGGAAAGGAAACCTAAAGAAGAGCAAAGATGAAGAAAGAATGGAGGCCGTTTTGAATTACTTGCAGATTTGCTTGTTCAGGTTCGGCAGCTTGCCCACTACAGATCTGGGTGATTCCTGCTTTCAAGGCAACAATGCACCCATGCGTTTCTGTTCGGCTTTTGGATGGGTATACTGTATACCAAACGACGATACGAGACGAAACAAAACCTTCACCATCCAAGTCATTCAAAGTCTCCCCCCAGTGCTATTGTGAGGAGCTAGTAAGAGGTGTAGGTATACACTCATGCATACTCGTACCCCCCCCCGTTGGTCCAATGAGCAACTCGTTTTCGCTTTCACCCGCCATCCAAGGAGCCCAGAGTCCCAGTCGGTAGTCCTGGCGAGGGCGAGCAAACAGTCTGTGCTCACCGTTCGGCTGGTTCCGTTGAGGAGGGCCCCCCAGATGGATCACACATGGCTCAGTGGGTGTGAAAGGTGATTGGAAAGTGAAAAGAAAGAAAAGGCAAGCTGACAAGAGAAGGCAAGCTGAGCAAAAAACACATAGCTGCCCTATATATAGTTTTCCGGATCTTTCCGGGTCACGGAAAGCCGCACTTTGAACAGAGTTGTTGCTTCGTCAGAACAACTCCACCCCAAAAAAGACTCAAATCTCCGAATCTCCCACGACTTTGGATGTTTCGTTTTAGCCCAGAACTTCCAGAAACATATCTCATCAACGTCAACGAACCCTACAGTCCCCAGGCCTTAAAAGTTGCGGGCCTCTTCAAGCCCTGTCTGCGTTCTACCATGGTCTACCATGGCCACCTCCTGAACGTCCAGATCCATCATCCATCAAACCACATCAAACCACACCATCTTACCATGCATCTCATTCCCAAACAAACAACACGGCCGCCGAATGCCGTTCGCAGCCATTCAAGCCTTACGGCTCAACAAGAAGCCATAGGACTCGGGGTGTTCAGGGTTCCGCCTCAGACCACAACGCATTGCGGCAATGAGAAAATGTAAAAAAGAGTCTGGTACGTTTGGGGGGGTTGGTGATTTCCACTTGCCTTCTTCCTGCAATAGTTTTGTTGATTGATAGTCATCGAGAATTCACCAGAAAAGAAAAAGGTAAACTTAAAAAAAAAAAAAACAAGGCACAGTAGTTCAGTTCACCAATGAAGGGCCTTCTTTCCGTCCATCTTCGGGTGGCTTTACCCTCAGATCCTCTTTCCGGTGTCACCGAGGCACATGTGGGTGAGTCCCGTGATGCCCTTCAAGTCCAGCACCGATTCCGCCTGGCCCGCAACGAGGGTCGGTCGCGAAAAAGACCAGGCAAACTGACCTTTAAGACCCTACAAACACGGGAAGTGCTAAAATAACCTGCCGTAGGCGGCCGTAGATTCTACAATATTCTGCTTTGGCCCTTGGCCCCCCGTGTGAAGTTCATATTTATCCAGGCTGCAGGACTTGAAAGAGTCCAGGGGGCCTTCCAAGATCGGCCACGTCAAAAACAGATAACGTCACTGTGAAAACCGATCCACGTGACATCTGCTTTGTCATTGCACGCCACGGACGAAGCAGCGCCTTCCAAGAACATTCGATCTTGGAGACCCGGACGACAGCGCCGGAGTGCCTCAGTGACCAGCGAAGCGTCCCAAGGCGTTCGTCAACAAGCGGACCTGCGTGGTAGCTTCTTGCTACTAGTAGTAAGGCCAGGAGCCCCTAGTAGCGTCCTTGTTACTAGTAGAAATGCCCTCTGCTCCTAGTAGCTTCTTGCTACTAGTAAGGTGCCTTGCTACTAGTAGCGATGCCCTTGTTACTAGAAAGCTTAGAAGCTACTATTGGATAGCAGCGGTGAACATCCACCAGAAGCTGGAAACCTTTTTATGATGATCAGTTGTTCATCGTTTTTCCATGGTTTTCCTATTTGTCTAACTCCCCAAAAATGGGTTTTAGGATGTTTTCGGTGTCGCGGCGTCCTCTGCGCCAGCCCGTCATGCCAGAGTGTGTGAGATCAAAGAAAGGAGCCACCTTCTCGTCCATGAACCTCTTATTGCCAGTTCATGAAACCCACTCGGGAGTTCAGCCCACTCCGCCAATCCCTGCCAAATGCCTTGAACCTGCGCATCCACCTATCAAGAGGTCGTCGCGATGAACACCGAGCCACGCCAAGTACGCATGACCCTCAGCACTGTCGAGGGTCAGTGCAGCCGCCTCCTGCCGGTTGCAACGGATGGTCTGAGAGTGGCGACGGCAAACAAAGCAATCGCAATTATCGTTGGCTTCAACTTTTGGGAGGTATGCCGCAATCTATCTCGTGATTATCAACATCATTCAACTTCAATGCATTCAACTCCATATTCAAGGCATGTAAACATCCATTAGTCATTAGACGCAGGGATAGTTCATGCACTGTTTCCCAAAAAGGGGACCAAAGCACCACTTGAAAAACGAAACACTGGTGCCACCCGTGTTTTCTTATATATTGGCTTACTTGATTCAGGTAAATAGGTAAGTCCCAACGCATTCTTACAGGCTTTCACTCCTTCTCTTGCCAAACCCATGGCACATCGCTCCCCGTATCCCGCGCATCGCCCCTGAAAAAGCCACCGAACGCAGGTCCTTCATGTTGTGTCGCCCCATGGGTAACGCGATGGAATCCACCAGGCCTGGGGGGTGGGCGAAGCGGGGCTCCGGTCATTGTGACCCAGGCCCGGCAGGAGAATGGGATCGAGTCATAAAGCGGTAGTTAGACTAGTTAGATGGGCACTGGCAAAGTGGCTTCCTCCTTCCTCCGGTCCGATCTACGTGAGCCATGCTCAAAATGACTTCTCCTAACACACATGACATTGCAGGGTGAGCTCAAGTTCTTACTCTGACCACAGTTCTTTGATGATTCTCATGTGCATCCTCCTTCTCAACCTCCCTCGCTCCCTCCCGCAGAGGGTCTCCATCACCCACCCGATCCAGTTCCGCCTCCTTCGATCACTCGAACCGTCCCCGGATGTGCTTCCTGGCCGAGGAGGAAGAGAGCCAGATGGACAGTATCCCGCCGTCCCACCGTTTCAAAAGGGTATATAAACATATATAGATAATATAGTCAATTCACAGCCAGGAGCTCGGGACCTTTTCATCAACTCTTGGAAGAATTGTGGAGCCCAGTGAAAGCTCAGCTGCTCAACTTCTCCACCTCCCCTTTGCGCACCGGTCACCCTCACCGGTGCTCGCCCGCCATCGCGAGGTCAACCCCGAGGGGGGGTCCTCCAGGACGAGAATGCCGGAGGGTGTCTCCAGCACCGCCACAGGTGCGCTGAAGGTCGCAAGGAGGACAGCGCCATCCCGTTGACCTGAAAGACACGAGACCGAAAGGACCGGGTCAAACGGCCGGTCAAACACCCGGATTGACTTCATCCCGGATGGAAGGGACATCTGGGCTTCAGCATTTTTTAGGTCTGGGTGTCACCTGGTCTTTTGAAACCACGGAGATCAAGTTTAAAAAGACTTGCTCAAAATATGTGAAAATAATTGACTTTTGGATGTGTCCAGTCTGCCATGAGGAAAAAAGGCAAAACATGAACCAAGGAACCGGAAAAATGGAACACCACTTATATCAAATGGATATGAACTGAACCAACATGGGTGATGGCCTGCCAGGATTGCATTCCCTGACATCTTCTTCAGCTTCTATCCAAATTTGCTTGCATCACCAAGGAAAACACCCCGGTAAACACCAGCACGTGCTGGCTCGGGTGCCTTTCACGCCGCTGCCCGCCAGAGTCTCGATCTGCGTGAGGGCCGCATTGATTCGGCCTCACTTTCGTGACCGTGGTAACAATAATCTCATACCTCCAAATGTGAAACCAACAATCAACAAGCCTTTTTACCAACACCTCACTGGCGCGACGCACCTCACTGGCGCGACGAAAGTCGGGAATTTTCGGGTGGCTGGCTCACTATAGATCCCTATACAGGTCACCAGCCACCCTCAGTGATCCTCAGTCCCTACAAGTGGCGACAGTCAGACACGGGCTCCGCTCGCAACTCTCGGTCTTTCTGGGGCACAAGGGCCATCAATTGGCATCGATTGTATAAACCTTTCGTTGCACCAACGACCACTGGCTAGCTAGTTACAATGCCTGGTCCCCAGGGAACTGCAAAACTTCAAACTCCACCAGTTTCCCAAGGAGACTGCGGTTTATTGAAATCCGGGAATTCCTTAATCATCTTAATCTCCGGAAGAATCATCCACATGCAGCAGTGCAGCAGCTAACAAAGATAACAAAGCAACAAACTGAAGAAATATTGCATTGGATATATATGTTATGATGATATGATATGATATGCACCAAAAAGATAGCAATGGCTGTTTCACGCATGCGCCGCAACGCTCGCCAGACAAGGCCAGGCACGGATGCGATGGTTGGAGGTGTCCGCCACCAAAATGCTACCATCTTGACCTAAGGATGCGAGGCGGGTTGGTGGTGGGGTGCGTCCTATTGTCCCGCCATCCAGGATTACCTCTGTACTTTTTGGGCAGATGAGATGCAAATGACACAAAAAGAAAAAAAACATAGTGTACAATCCATAATGCAATTTGCCATACCGCAGGCGTCAATGATAGCGTTCAGGCGGTGAGATGATAATAATCTTTATCAAAGTCTATAAGAAATGGCCGCCCTAGTAGATTCTCCGGCTGGCCCCATGCCGCCATGCAAAAAACAAAACAAAATTGATTGATCAATTGGACTTACCAGCTTTCTTCTCTACGTATTCTAAACCCTCACAGGGTGGCCCAGGGTGGACAGCTCTGGCCCCAACGACCTGGCGACGCGCGCGAGAAGACGTGTTGGCTCCGAGCGTCAGCTGCCCAAGCTCACTGCACGCTCACCCAGTTTGGCCGTGTCGATGTTGCCATCCAGGAAGCCAGACTCGCCCTGCCGGTGAAGGCTGCGGAGGTGCGAGCTGCATGGCGAGCTGAATCCCCTTCTCCAGATCAGTCACCCTACGACTGGGTCAGAGACAGGCGAGACAGCTGCTGAGTGGTGAATCTGGGTGACAGTTCTTGTTCTTGTCCATTGCTACACCATTGTTACAAGGGCAAATTCGTCCATCTAGCACTCCCTGACTGGATTATTCCCTTTTCAAGCATACGCATCATGCGATCTATCAAGGCCAAGAAGGATGTTGATGTTTGGGACTCATCTTCCCCTTAAAGACGCTCTCCTCTCCCAAAGCACCGTCTACTCTTCTCTCTAGGCTACATGTAGGGCCTGTAGCTTCTTTGCATCCTCCACACGGGATGCGCCTGTTGAAGCCATGTAGGTGCCGATTTGCCCGAGGCCGCTTGGGCGAGGTAGAGTAAACCACCTGATCGGACCCCAAAAACAGGCCAGAACCAACACCACAAGCAACTGTAGAGTCCATCATCTAGAGTTTATATAAATGTGTTCTCTTGGGATTGGGTTTGCGCCTGAAGAAACTATAAGCAGGTTTGATTTGCTGTCAACTTCCTGAGACAAAGTTCCGTTCACTCCGAAGCCAACTCAAATGGAAAACAAAAAAAAGAAGAATCTGTTCAACCTGCCCACCAAGATAATGAAAATAATGACTGGACCATCCAATGGGTGTCCAAGCTGGACTACCCAGCTCATTACTTAGGGATCTCCAAAGAGGCCACCCATTGGATAGTCCTTGGTGTGTTTTAAGCAGCATAATTAACGTGCTCTTTCTGGACATGTTGCACCATGTCACTCCAAGTGTTTTCCTAACACGTCTGGGTGAACCGTGAGCACAAGAAAAAAGATTGACCCCTCTTGCATCACCTGACCCTCCATTTGTGGCGCGGCCCAGCCTGTGACAGATAAGATCACGGCTTCACCCGCACGCCTCGAAAACAGCTGGATCCGTCGACCCAAAACCTACAGGGTTTGCCCCTTGGGTCACTCCAAGATGGACAACATGTGGCCTGAAAAAATACGTCCATGACCATGTGATCCCCATGCGATTGGCAAATACTAAACATCTACATGCACGAGGTCCGTGTGCCATCCGCCGACTTGCAGTTCTTTTCTTATATAAGTACTGGGCACATTCGATCTCCTCATGCAAGTCAAATGACTGTCGACATCAGTGTGCCGAACTGTGATTCGACATGGACATGGTGTGATCCCACATCACCGTCCATGTCCGCTGACCGACTCTGTTCAAGGCGGCGAAAGGTCTGCACGCGTATGTGCGCCAAGCATTCAAAGGTTCCGAGCCAAGCCACGCCATGCTGTGCACCGTGTGTTCGGATTCCAAGCGCCTCAAAACGGCACGAAAACACTCGTGTTCGCCGGAACGACACCGAGGAGGAGGAGGAGAAGGAGGAGTTCGGCCCTGAACACGACTGCGTGGCGTGCGTGCTCGGTCGATCACTTGGGGCTTGTGTTCGTGGAGATATCCGACAGATAGAATCCAACTGGATCCCGGGCAATCCCCAGTCCATGCTGGCACGGCTAGGTACGTACATGTGTCACGTCGATAACTTTCTTTTTGCCGAGGAAGGGCAGTGTTTGTTGGCGTGGGGGAGGGGAGATGGTGAAGAATGTAAATAACTCTAAAAGCCATCTACCGCCTGATGTTTTCTTTCCTGGTCTACCGTCTGATGCCTCATCACCTCACAAATGTGGAGCTTGACCTAAGTGGGTCACTGGTCTTCGTGCCTTCATCCAGCTTCGGCGACTTTCAGAAGCTCAGAGCTGTTCCACTCAATCGAGTAACCGGGTCGACCACGCATCGAGACCCAGGTCGACCACGTTCATCGACCCATCGTCCGCGGCGATCGGCGCATCGGAATTCCACGGCATCGATGGGGTTCTATACTTGCCGACGAGGTTTTAAGTCTAGCATTGCGGGGGGTCGGGTGAGGCCTACAACACTACACTCAAACACCAAAGAAAGAGTTGCGAAAACACTCACCTGCATCCGGGGGGGTGGGGGATGGGGTGGTGCCAGCAGCACTACAGTTGGGAACTGACAAAGCAAGACTTTCTTGCACTCACCTGCATTGGGGGTGAGGTGGTGTCTACAGCACTACACTCAAAGAAAGAATCTCTCAAACTCACGAGCATGCAGGGGTGGGGGGGGGGCTACTCTTGTGCACTACCAAACCAAGACTTTCTTCTGGAGTCTACAGCACTACAACCAAGCACCCACTCGCCTGCATCCGCGGGTTGAACTTATTTTGCTAAGCTGACTTTAAGTTCCATAAGTTCAAGGGTTCCTACTTGTGGAACTCAAAGTCTACTTGGTGAACTTGTAGAACTTGTAGTTGTACTTGGCCGCATTTCCGACTATGCCCTGACGGCCTGGCCAGACCGGCTGGCAAGGACCTTCAAACTGACTCAAAACCCAGGCCTGGATGGAGGGGAGCTAGATACCTGTTCTAAGTGCCTGTGTTCTGATGCACACCCATCATCTTCGATCATCGGACGGCCATGCCACCCAGGTGCGTTTGCACGGCCGCCGTGTTGGGCGAATCCGGCACCTCAGCGGACGCGTCACGCGTCGAGAGCGACGGTGGAGTTCGGGAGACACTCAGGAGCACCCTACAATGACCGCGATGGCCTCCAACCTAAGAGCGGGCTAAAACAAAAACAGAGAATTACAGGGAGTTCTGTGAATGTTCCAAGTGAGAGGAAAAGACACTTTCTCAATTCGGACTAGCGAAGAAAAGAAGCGTCTATCATCGGGAGTTCTGGGGCCAAAAGAAGTGTTCGTTTCACTAGAAGGGAGTTCTGTGCATCTTCCCTTTTTGTGCATGGTACCAGGTTCTTTTGCGAGTGAGAATTGGCTTGAGATTCCTTGAAAGGGGACATTTAAACCGCACCATTGTTCTATTGTGGTTTGAAGCCCCCAAGAATCAACACCCATGTAAATTCAATCTATCAATTAATTGATATTAATGGTACATAGATGTTCTTTTTGGTTACCCAAAAATCTCCAAGAATCCTTCAAAACACACCGCCATCCGAACCTTATTCCTATTCCTATACCCAAAAGAGAACGCTTCCCGTCGTGGCCATGGTGGCCCAACCTCCTCCGGAGTCCCTCGAAGGCTGCGCGACTGCGCGAGGCACTCCTGCACCGAGGAGACTCCGCAAAGACTGCGCGAGGACGATGAATGGAGCCCAGGGGGAACACGGCGCGTGCACGTCTTCCAACAGAGGTTGAAAGACCAGAACTAGGACCCTGTAGTGGTACATATGGGATGGGCTATAGGGCTGTTCAGCCTCTCTTGGTTCGCCTTCGTCTTCCGTCTTCGCACGTCTTGCGGGCGGGCTCTCGGCACGTCTGAGTCGTCATCGGCAGGTCAGCAGGTCGGTCTCCTTCTGTCGATCGTCTTCCTTCTGCAGCCAAATCATCGCCTCCTGCGCCCCCGCGCGCCACTCCTGCCGGTCACGCGCAGTCGCGCAGGTCGCTCCATTGGTCGGTCACGACGTGTCCGTTTGGATGGAAGGGTGGTGTCTGGGGGCGATTGGTCCAGGTGAGGCGATTGGGGGAGTCCAGAGATGAGATCTCAGAGAAGCACTTCTTGACTGTTCAATGACCACTGTCTCACTTTGTAAAGATAGAACATGGAAGGGTTGACCCAATCGGCGACAGAATCCACTTCCAGGGTTGTCGGTTTGAAAGTGAAAAAAACGAAGGAGCCCTGTTACTTGAAAATAGTTGCAACGTGAGATAAACTCTGTTTTAGAGTAGGCCACCCTCTAGCCTAATGTCCTATTGTGCAGGTCCAGACGTGGTTCTTGTTGGCTTTCCGCAAGCGGGTCATGACTGCAATCCCTCAACAAGTCCAGCTGCTACATGGACGGGCTATAGTTGAAGCACATGACCAAACCGAGGCATTTGGGGGGGGATCTTCTTCGCTCCAACTGCCCAAAAGGAGGTAAGGACATGGGGCGTCATAGGACGTTGAATCGCCTACATTCACAAGGCTGTGACCCATAATAGGCATCAAATAGGACCTCATAGGACCCATGGGACATCAAAGGCAACACGATCCCCATGTGACTCTGACCCTGCCACATGCGCCGCTCGACCGGAGCGAAGGCCTCGATCTTCGGCTCGAAGAACATCAGCGAAAGCTCCGCATCCTTCAAGAGACCCTCGGTGTGGACCCGCTGGTCGAGGAGAAGCGTGGGGAACGCTGCTTATCAGGCCCATTGAAAAGACAAAGAGGCCAATGGCCAACTCTTTGTAGTGTCAGTGAATGAGTACTTCATGGTCTTGCCTTTTGTCTAGGGTGTAAACGAACAAGTGCTGATTCTTCAAGCCCCACATGGACCTCTTGCAAGAAGTTGCCAAAACAATGAAGACTTGATGCACCTAAACCTGGAAGAAACCTGGAAAGTAAAACACGGTGACACATGCACTTCCACTTTACTGATTCCACCGCTTCCAACCCCATTCAGCTTCTCTCCAAGGCACTGCCGAAACCTCATCACTCAAGGGCAACATCGCCTGTGCTTGCGGGTGCTTTCCCCAACCAACAAGAGATTCTGAGATGTGTCCGTGAAAAACGCTCTCTATACGTCCACCTGGCAGCTTAAAGTCCTCCTCTTCCACAGGGACAACACCTTCAACGCATGCTTTCAGCTGCTCATAATGAAGGCTGGCCTTGATCCACTCGACGTTCTGCTGGCAATTGCGCTTCAGCTCCTCCCCATGCACCGTCAAGCGCCCCGCGATCTGCCTGCCATGGGGTCGTGCAGCGATGCGAAACACCTTCCCAAACGCATGGCACCCCAGAAGAACCTCTCTCGGAGGAAGAACATGAAAATCTCAAATCATGTGGTTCTTCTTGAAGGTCCAAAAGAGCCAGCGCTAAATGTATACCCCCCCAAAGAACTCGAACAGCTCAAGTCCCATAAAAAACACCACTTGGGAGTTGAGCCAAGAGTCTTGACGGGTATACGCTTGTATGCCGCATTCTACGCATAGCCGACGTGAACCCCAAGCGAACCCTGACACAGTCCACCAAGCGTTCCCCACATTGCAAATAGCCAACAAACGACATGAGGCTTTAAAGCAATTTGGGATCACAGGAGCGTAACATAACTAGTTCAAGGGACTTTCTCAAATCACCTGAACTCAGTTCAACATGAGAATCTAACTCACAACTCCGAGATGTCCAGCACCGTAATGGGAGGAACCGCGATGTCATGTCGGTCCCTAAATCAAAACACATCAACGAAACACTCATGGGGCAGCATGAGTAGAAGTGACATCATTCAGAATCCAACCTGCCCACGCCCGCCTGAGGCTCTGTGCTGCTTCAGCCCAGCTCTCCTGCACTGCAGAGGTCGTCCGCAGCAGCGTCGGCCGCGCGGCGCCGGCTCCGGCTCCCGCCGCGGCGGGTGCCGCAGGGGCGTCGGAGATGAGGACGACATCGCCGGCCTGGCGTTAGAAGAAGGCTGCGCGTCCTTATCGTTACTTTGAGAATGTACGTATAAAAAAAGAATGCCAAATGTAAGATCTGGCTTGGTTTTAAGGGTTTCGGGGAATGGTGATGCCACCAATGTGACTTGTAGGTCAACATGTTGAGATTGATGGTGGAGAATAAGAACTGGAGAACGGCAGCCGACCCTCCCTGTTTGTCTCTCTCTCTCTCTCTCTCTCGAAACAAAAAAGTTTATGATTTATGGGTCAACATTTTATGGTTGATGGAGAAGAAGTGCAAAACAGTTACTCAAACTGCAACAAAAATGAGCCCAAACCCACACGCAACAACCCACAAACCACGCAAGACTACCTTGACCGACCGGCGGTCTGACAGACCGCGTGCACCAACTGCGAACGGACCGCATGCACCTTCTTGCCACCAAGGGCAGGCCAGGTGAGTTTCTGCATGCCCTCGTGGAAGTGGGGCAGCAAGGGCAACAGGAGGTGGCCACGATAATGCGGCACGGCGCTCCTGGGTGAGGAGAAGTAGGCTGTGTAGGGGGTGGATGGTGAGGAGCCCAGATCCAGATTCAGATGGCCATCATTAAGAAAAGTTGAGCCTTGAGTGGAAGCATGTCCTCAACTTCTGTTACACCTTTGTGCTTTTGACAAACCACCGCAAAACCTTTGAGCTTTTGAATGCTATCATCAAAGAAGTCCATGGCATGGCCATTTCAAAGACCGCTCTACAACTGGCCTTTCGCACGTGCCTTTTAAATTCAAGGCCTGCAAATCTACCTATTCACCCACCACGACACGCCGTTTACGCCGCCATCGAAACCACGTCGTTGACGCCGCCACGTTGGCACGACCAAACCCGAGGCTCTGTGCTTCGGCCATCGCCAAGCACCGGACCAAGGCCATGCTCTGATCGAAGAGCCCCAGTCGCTCCACCGGCGACAGCTCCAGCCGCTCGCCCGAGAGCCACCTCGGGATCTCGGTTGCTCGCACGCGACGGGCGCCCGCGCGGAGATCGGGCTGCGCGACGGAGATCGGGGCTGTGCACAGCGTCACGGCAAGAAGGAGAGGAATTGAAAAGATGTACTCAACCTAGGAGCGATGGGCTCCAACCTCGTAGTGAGATGGCCTCCAACATAGTACTGACTTCTGCAGATTAATCGGGAGAGGGTATAGATGGGTTGGTTTGGGAACACAATCCCAACATTTAAAAACAATCTGCACACACCCATCTGCACGAGGATTCATATATTTATATTATATTACATAAGGTCTATAGATCGACTGTTGATTCGATCTTATAACAGTCGAGCGGCATCGAACAGAACATTCATTCAAGTCTACCATGCTTCCGGGTGTTTCAAAGCACTAGACCAAAACCCTTCTGCCACGAGCCAATGCTCCGCCTTGCCCAGAACTCCCCCGCTCCTCCGCTAGAGAGGTCCAAGGGGCCAGTTTTGAAGACCAGGGGCGGAATCCAGATATCTGTCCTCCTTCTCCTTCTCAACTTCAACCTGCAGAAACAGCCCGAACCGCAAGTATCCAAAAAATATGCAGGAAGACTCTGCTCATATAAGCAGCACAGGTGTCAAGGATCAAACACATGGAGCAAAAGTATGGTATCATGTTCATCCATGTTCAGCTGATGTGTTTGATGTTGCAAAGTTGAAACAAACTATGAGCCCCAGTTCAGCTCATGTTACAGAGCGTTCAACTATGTTTAAAACGTCAATTCCACTGGTTAGGTAGGCCTTCTTCGCTGTGGGTGGCGGGCATACCGGGAAGCATGCCTTGGTGGACAGGGCATCGCGGCGCATCGCAGCGGACATCGGTAAGTCCGTTTGGGCCGACCACCTGAGTAGATCATAAATTGGTTTCATGAAAAGAACATCCACGGTCCACGGGAAACCCATTTGAAACCCTGTTTTTTACTGTATACTGTAACGTATATAGGTTGATTTTGTCTTGAAAACCGACCATGGCTTCCTCGTAAAATGGCCTCTTGTAACTTGTAACACCCATCCATGGTGAGAGATTTGTAACATCGCCACTCCCAGGATCTCCATCCTCCCCTGCCTCCCGTCCCCCGCACGTTGCCCAGGCACGAGCATCCGCTCCAGCAGATCCCAACAGCGCTGGGGCGGCGCTTTCATGGGCCCTTCCAACAAGATCGCCTCCCAACAGCGGTGAGGAAGGCCGGAAGGGAGGGAAGTCTTTTCGCTGGGTCGACCGGTGAATGAGGTGCGGTGTGTGTTTCAGGCGATCTGTGAGTTACCCAAATCTAACCCACAAGGCAAAGGATGGGGAGGGCAGGTTGAGGTATGATCTGAAGCTATGTGACTTCCCACAACCATAGTGCCGCGGCCTTACCACACTCCTTCTGGTCTGCCAAAACCGACCCACCCCGGGCCGGACAGTTAACAGTATCCCATTGTGACCGCTGAGCCCAGCCATCCAGCCCCCTCCTCGGTCGCCGGGTCAGCCACCGCCCGTTCCCCGCCTGACCGAGGCAAACCACTGCGGCCAGCGCGGTGCTCGGAGCACTACCACCCTGGTGACGGTCCACGGTCCACGGTCCAGGTGTATGGCCTCCAACCTACAAGAATAGGGAGGGGTTCTTATACTCAAGAGTCTACATGATGACGTGCGCTGTTCTCATAGAAAAAGGTCCACTGTTCTCGTCAATCATGTCAATGATATACCAGAATATGCACAAGCTTCTGATTCTCCGAGCGTTGTGAAAGTCTATCACGCCACATATGATGCCGAATGCAAAACAAACCTTCCTTCCTCACCCCCAAGCACGGCCAAAGACACCAGGCATCACCAGGTGTCTCCTAACACCACCTTCCGGTTTCAGTGATCCATCATGATCCATCTGCGATCTCATCCCAGTGGCGCTCGTCTTCCCACGCCTCAGGCAGCACTTGTGCCAGTTTGGACGCCATCGAGCCCGAGGACAAGCTCTCGGCCAGCATGGAGCACAAGCTCAAATGCACGAAGCACGCCTCGTAGGCCGAGCGCCTCAGCTCCCAAATGGGTTTTTGTGTGTGTTTTTCCGGCCGAAGAAGGCGAACAAATATGGTCCAATCGGATGGATGAGAGATGACGTTTCTTCCAAAGGAGGAAAAGGAAAGAGCGGAGAAAGATCTTGCCCCACAAACCGGCAAGATTTGATCAAAGTCCTAGGAATCCCTTTAGTTTGTTGTGACATCAATCTTGCATTGATCTATTTTTGCGCAAATTCTTCCGATTCAGTCAATCTGAACAGACTCCCTGTAAGCGGTATGTGTATACATGTGTAGACTCCCAGGAACTGACTTAATCCCTTGCAACTGCAAGAAGCGGGTGAAATCAACCACCTGTCGTCAGCTTCAATGACACGCTCAGCCAACAGAGCTGAAAGCGAAAGTCAACAGTTTAGTAATTGAGTATATCCGGATCCGGATCCAACACCTTTGGGGTCCAAAGAAGTGTAACACCATTGGGTTGCCTGAGTTGGCGCACATCCGAACCCCGCACCCAGAAAACGGCCACTTCCGCCCCTTGGGCATCCCAGCTCTAAGAATTCCTCCATCAGTGCCACCACCGCGCGGCCATACCTAGGGGCGGCGTCTGCAGTCAGCGAGCGCTGCGCGATGCGGCGGGTGATACGGTTAACGGGCAAGTCGTAGGGATGATCAGCCGTGCGTCATGATTCATTCTTCGGCTTAGGTATTTCCTCTTGGCCTAGCGCATCACTGTCAAACAAGTCATCTCCGCCTTACCCACAAGTCTCAAGCCCGATTGGTTCTGCAACCAGTCCAGCCCTCTTCCGTCTTCCGTCGCCTTCCGTCGCCTTCCGTCGCCTTCTGCCCAGTAGCAATTCGAGAAGTGGGACTTCCTGGGAACCGCGAAGGACGAATGGTCCCAGCGCGGAGCAGTTGACCACGGTGTCCAGCGAAAAGGTCCAACTCACGGGGAGCCAAAAAGCCCCCGTGGTTTGGGACGTTGACCGGCAAAAATCATGGAGGGGACGCACATACTTCAGGCAAAAAAGGTCTGACGTTGACCGTCTTGACCTACCAAACGTTGTTTTTGTTTAACATATTTAAGTCTTTGAACCCCAACAAATCTCCTCGGATTCCTCTTGTTCGTCAATGAACTGCCCGCTGCTCTTCACCAAAAATGAACCGCTGATGACACTTTAGGCGGGGTCACTAGGCCTCTGCAACCCTGAAAAGAACTGGACATGCTTGCTCATCATCGAAGTGGCACGGTCCTGGTATTCAGTTGACTTAAGACCCAGGATCTAAAAAGCAAAGAAATCATGTTGCCACTGATGCCAGTTGCTCATGAATATCTTAGCATTCACTAGAAGAGGCTCTGGCCCCTGCCCACAAAGAAAAACATTCACAATGCTTTTTTAAAATAGGGTGATCCCCCGGCGTCTATCTTCATTCTTCTAGAGGGTCAAACGGGGGGTCTCCCAATTTCAGCTACACACCCACATCAATTCCGCTCAACTGGCACCAGGCAACTGAATGGAGCGCCAAGAGCATGGTGGCCGTCTGACTCCATGGAAAAGCCTGGAACGAACGTCACGGCGAGGAGATCAATCCCAGCGGTCTTGTTAACCAGACCTCTGTTATTGCTGACAATTACCTCAAGACTATTGATGAGTTGACTTTTCATGCCTTGTTGTTTTATGTTATATGTGGTTGTTCTATACTTTTGAAGCATGTACAATCTACAATACTCATGCCAGCAACAGCTCAGCAGCAGCTAAAGTAACCAGCATCTAATCTACCCAGAAAACAACTGATTTGGAAAGTCCCCTGGTGTATTCGAGAGCACTGACTTGGGGAACCCCCAGCAAGCACCAAAGAAACGAGAAATCCTAAATCCTATGATATTCCTCACACACGTTCGATTTCCACCCTAAGAATCCTTTTCCAGCACTATGCCCAGCACGCCCCGCGCAACAACATGGAAAACCCCCGGCATAGCATCACCTCACAGCCCCGGCACGAACCCCCCGCCGCCCGCTGTCGACCTGGCTCCGGAAGGGCCGTCCCTTAGGGCTCAGCTTCAACTCCAGCGCCGTCGGCTCACCTCGGCGGACGGCGACCGGACGGAGGACGGCGACCGGCGCCACGGAGGAGGGCGGGATGTGGATGAGGTTGGAGATGTTCGCCCCAACATTCTCTGGTTGGATTGGATTGGTGTCAAGAAGAGTCTCCTTCATGTTCAAATCCGGGAGTCCTGGTTGGATATCGCGCAACACTCGTTGCGGTCATCGCGCTGATTGGTGGACCAAACGGGTTCAATTTCCAAGCCACCTGTCCCCCCTTCATCAGCCAAGGCTGCTTCGGCGCTGACTCGTTTTGGGTACATGAGTTTGCGGCGTTCGATTAAAAACAACAATGCACATGGTTGCCAGGATTTTTGGAGTTGGATGTACTTGATGGGTGGCTCCCTTGACAGCTCCTAAGCAACTCCAACCTGAGTTGGAAGTGCATTCTTGCCCCCGAATTGCTGCTCTTGGGATAGATTGTGCATTCTTTCGTAAGGAAACACTTCGCTCAAGCACCAAGGTGCCAATCAGCGTCTGCAAGCCCTGCGCGTGAGCCGAGCACGCTTAGAGTTCTCAAAAGAGGGATCTAACAGAATCTAACAAGCGTCGGTCTCCTTTCTCAGGCGTTTGCTTGTTCTCCTTGAAACTTTGAGAGACGTGCAATGAAATGAGATGGAGAGCAAAGTTTGATGTCCAAAGTGTCGTGTTTGTTCATTTTTCTGTTACTTCCGGGGTTGTATAACAACTCCCCAAAGTTTGCCTACGCCATGTGTGCAAAGCAAACCCAAGTTCATTGCTTCTCTCAAGTACTAAGTAGAGATGAAGTTCCTCTCCCAGAAATGGAATCGGTTTTCCTTGAGCGGTTCTATATTGAATAATATCTGTATGCATTTGCTGGGATACAAGTAGGGCACTGTACCAGACGCACTCCCGGAGAATCGACCATTGATTTTCCGGTTCCCTATCTTCGGAAACTTCATGAAAGCTTATATACCAAACCTTTCAGGTAAATATCTCATAGAAAAAGGCAAAAGTCCCTTCTTAGTTCGCAGTACATAGCAACTGACGAATTATATAGTAGGATCAGTCAGTGGCCTCTCAAAATCATCATGTGGATTCTCTCTGTTCACCGGAAGTGTGGAAGACCCAAAGAAGAACTCAGATCCTTCTGTATTGAGAATATTCACAAAAGGCCGGTCGGTGAATCCTACTCATGCTTGGTGTTCTGTTCATAGGGCTCAGCAGCAGCAAAAGAACTTAGGGATGACACCACTGCGCAGTCCATTTTGCCCAATCCACCAAACCGCTGCCGCCCCACACGCGTGAAACCTCACCGCTGACGCACAGAAAAAGCACCGACTCACAGCACCTCCAACTCTCGTAGCTCCAGCATCCCCAAGTACACCGAGCCGGGCTCAGCGCCGCGTGCTCCGCGCTCTCGCCGCACCAGGTGAGGCTCCGGTAAGGTCCACCGGTCGCGCCACTTCACCCGGCCCTGATCGGTTCGCGCGACCCACCGACCCGAAGAAGCCAAAACCACCAGACACGTGCTGCATCTTAGAACACTTTGTTGGGGTTCGTCGGTTCGTCTACGTCTTAACTCTTTGGTGTTGAGCATCGAGGAGAAAGCGATCGAATTCCAGCACCCGAAACATAGATACGGCCTCAACAGTAGCGTTTGTGGTCGAGCAGGGGACGGCACGTAAGGATGACGGCACGAGTTTGTCCAGAAACGATACGTTGAACATGTTGCTAGTCTTCTGGCAGACTTGGAACCAACTTGCAACTCTAGAGTTACAATGTCTGTTGTCATCTTACTGGTGTATAGTTCATTGTTAAAATTCACCTGAAGTGGTGAATGGCAGGGTTTTCAGAAAACCTGGTCGTGAACCTTGACCAGTAAGAATTACAGAATGATTATCCCAAACATGGGACTGGCATAGTTTACCTATAGTTACTGTATGACATATTGGGATTTTAGGAGTCATGGGACTGGCATATAATGGGACACAGACATGGTGACCCCGACACCAACGGCAACTCCACGACTCCACGACTCGACCAGAGCGCTCCACCTCGATGTCGCTTTCTCTTCGCCTGGGAAGGAAGAGGGGTTGTCGAAGACTCCACCGTGCCCAAGAGATCTCTCAAATTCGGGTCTCAGGGTTGCGGAGTTCACCACTCTATGTTTGATCTCCAAAGTCTTGGAGTCTGCCTCATATGAGCTGGCATGGACCATTCAGAGTCTCACAATCAATAGTCAATAAATAAATAAATATATATATATATTATATATATATATAATGTGAACCTTAGAGGAAAACCAGAAAACGAGCGCCTTTAGCACCTAGCTATACCTAGCTCTGTCCTTGCAATCCTTCAAAAGTGGCGCTGTCCCATCCCAACAGCCTGAGATTGGCCACTGCGCTGCTCTCCGAACGTAAGCGCTGCAGTACAGGAGGGCCACCTGGACTGTCTAGGCCGGCTTCAAGGGTCTAGGCCTGGTCCCTGTGCTGTGCGCAGTCGGACTTTTTCGTGTCGCTCTTGTCGTCTCGATTTGGTAGGTGTCGTTTCTCGCGGGGAATGCACGAGGCGTTTCTCAACGCCTTATCACCAGAGTGTCAGAAAAAGGCAGATTCTGGAGGTGTTCAAGATCGGTGCAAGACCAATCATTGGTGACTGCGCACATCAGTTCGGACTTCTTTGGGTTTCGAGTGGAACAAATCGCTGATTTTACCTCAAGTGAAAGGTTCCTGCACCCTTCAAACTATCCGACCCCAGCCAGACATAGCCAAACCATCCAGCCAACACCTGTTCAATAGGTGCTTGATTATACAACGGCCATCAACAATGGCCCAAGTTGCCATTTATACATGCTGGGTAGCAAATCAATCAAAAAACATAAAAAATAAATCATCCTTGGGTATCCACACATGTCCTTTCCAACCCCCCCCATTCAACTCTCCCGCACCTTCTGAGGATCCCTTGGGCGCCGTCAACGCACTAATGAACCGCGCCAGCCGCGGGGGGCGCGTGCCCGGGCGCGGGGCGTCGGGGTGGTGCTGCTGGGAGACCAAAAGGCTCAGCTCCGCTGTGACCTGGAAAGCACCAAGGAGGAGTCACTTGTGTCATTTTGGAAAAAAGGCGTTAAAACGGTAGGTGCGCATGCAAGTGAGAACATGATTCTGCAAATCCTTTTCCCGACTTTTCGACGCCTAATCAAGAACACACCAGAATATGTCCACGTCGAAAACATGTTGGTGCGACATCGGTGCGAAAAGTGAAACATCGGTGCATTCTGAATGCAACGAGATTGCTACGCCTGCTCCTTCCACCCCTCTCATCACCCACCCGAGCGCATGTTCAGCCTCCTCTTTTAGCGTCGCGTCGTCGGTGATGGCCAAGACCAGCAGCGTGCTCTGCAACGACTCGGGCGCTGCCAGGCGAGCCGCGGCCGTCGCCTGCGCGGGAGCGCAGCGACTAGGTGCACCGTGGCGGGGCGAGAAGCACACGAAGGGGTGAGGAAGTGGACGCAGTACAGCACGTATAAACAGGTATGAAAAGTGTAAGTGGTGCTTGTGGCTGGTGGGAAGTCGGTGGTAAAAAAGGTGCCCACTAAGTGTAGTAGACTATAGTTTGTCAGGTCCTCATGTTGGCTTCAAGCACATGCCTAAAGAACAGTGCATTGGCTCGCGGACATTTCTTGTCACTTCCATTCATTTGTTCATTCCTAATTGAGATGTTTTGAGGAAGTTGGGTTTGAGATTCAGGCAATGTCTGCTTCACTGAAAGGGTTAACACAAAAACTACTCCGAACAAATTGAGGGTACCAGGTCTCCTCTGGTGGCTTTTGCAGACTTCAAAGTAGCAGGTGGTGACCTGTTGGAGGGTGTTGGTATAGGATTTCTTGACGGAGCCTCAGGATTGATGGCTGACTACGGATGGACCTTGCAAAGATTTTACGTACATCATCAGGTGCCACTTCATCAGGTGCTCTTCAAAAGATTCAAGAGGGGACACAACCGATCCGCGAACGGTTCTTGCCCAGTCGAAGAGCCTTCAAAAGGAATGGCCACGGTAAGTATAACTGCACCGTATAACGATGAAGCCTCAAACAACCTGTTCTCAGCACGGTCATCGTCTGTACAAGCCCTCAGGCCAATCGCGGTCAAAGTGCCTGTTGCTTCGGCAGCTCTTGGTGAAACGCCACAGCCGACGAAGTGAGCCCCATGGCAGTGGCCGTTTTCAGCAACCAGCAGGACTTGAAATGCAAAATGTGTGGGCTGTAAAGTTCAAAAATGTGATCTAAGGGGGTAATCAACTATGTACAGTAAAGGAAAAAAGTGGTATCGACAGCCTATAGCTGAGTTATTTGCGTTGGATACGGATACGCAGTACTTTGTGAACCTTGGAGTGCAGATTGCTTGCAAGGCGCAGTACTTTGTGAACCTGGAAGCACAGAAGACGCAGTACTTGGTGGACCTTGATGAGCAGATTTCGTGGCAGGCGCAGTTGAAGCAAGAAAAAGGGGCAGGTTCCCTTCTACTCTAAGGCGCCAGGATGCACTAGGATGCGCCAGAAAGTCATTGCATCCAGGTGTGGCTCATCTCTCAGTTGCTTTCTTCGCCCTAGCCATACTATTATTTTTTCTGGTTTTGAAAAGTTGGTTCATCAATACCACAATGCTCCCGTCATTCGGTTTTGTAGCGTCGTTCATTATCTCAGCTGTCTCCGTACTTGCACTGTGTTGTTTTCTCTCAGATGTTTCTTTTGAAGTCAAACTCCTACATGTCAGCCTAGGGTCCCACTGCACCGAGAAAAACATCAAATGTTTGCCGATGCTCTTGACTCAAGCCTACGAAAGCGCAGCAAAATGATATCCAACTTGAGACTTCAGGTGTTGCAAGTGCCATTGAACTAACAAAGATTGATGTCCCCAACACCGAAAATAAAGCTTTTGAACTTCAAACTGCATACGTCCGTGTCATTCGTCTTGGGTACGGAGCTTACGGGGCAAAAAGTCAATGTAAACTTGGAAATGGAATAGCGATGCCCTTGTTCCTAGTAGCGTCCTTGCTCCTAGTAGCGATGCCAGGAGCCCCTAGTAGCTTCTTGCTCCGTTCGTAGCGATGCCCGGAGCACCCCTTTTCGCTCGAGCTCTGCATCGAATGCCTCACATGCGTCGCAGTGCCCATGATTCCAAGTCGATTCATATCGATTCGTGAATCCGGTGGGGCCACTGCCTCCTGCCGAAGTGGAGATGTTCGAGTGAAAGCCAAGCCAAGCAGTGAGAGACGTGCAAGCCGAACCTCGTGTTGGTCAAAGAGCTGCGATGATTGTGAAGGAGCCGAAGATCTCTCGAACGAAGACAGGAACGAGGTCTGGAACGAGCGGGAGACAACGATCGTCTCCACAGCTCGTGGCATCTCGTGGCTCTCCACATCTGGAGTGTTCACTTCAGCTTCCTGCTTAGCACGGACAGCTGAGCAGGATCGGTCCGCCACAGCTGGATCTTCGTGGATCTTGTCCGCCTCCACGCAGGCGTTCCAGGTGTTCACGGCATTCGGTCTGTGGATGGTCACAACTCCTGCAGTGGTGCTTCGAACCCGGATGCGGATGTCGCAGAGCAGTTGGAGCCTATCAAGTCCATGTGTGGAAGACCTGCATAAGATCTTCGAACGCTGTGCTGCCATGATGTCTGCATGTGTGTCATGGATGTGGGCGTTCGCAAATCCAACCATCAAATACATCAAAGGTTCGACCCCGAAACTTCGTTAAGTAATCCACCAACAGTTACAACAAAGGCACTCTAAGGCCCTTCTAAGCATATCTGAAGCACATCCTTAAGGCCCTAGTGCTTGCTGGTACGTCAAGATTCAGGATTTGGCGGACCCATGAGTCTGCCCACAACCTCTCTGACATGGATCCTCTCCCACTGATTCATTATGTTCAAGCCTACACCTACACCTGCCTGCATGGAACGCCGAAACCCGCGCCTCCAAGGCATTCAACTGCCCTTGGAGCGGAGCTCTTGTGCCTTGCAGCCAAGTGGTGAGAGCCATGCGCCGCTTTGCGCTTGTTACAAGCGACCAAGCCAGTTCAATGCCAAAAGCAAGTGTTTTGCATGTTGTGTCCTCCCAAAAAGGGAAACCGATGCAAGAATGAAACATGTGAGGAGATGAGAATGATGAGAATCTGTGATATGATGTTTGGACCCCCCCAGCTGGCCTCCTCCATGGAGCCTTTGGCCTCCAAGAGCTTTGCCAGACCAGATATCGAGTCCAGAGTCTCCTGATGTCTAACTCCTAACTGGGCCTCTTGCCCTTCCATCGCCCGGCGGAAGTGCGACTGGGCCTCCTCCAAGCGCCCTTGAGCCGCACTGAGACGGGCCAAGTGGTAGACGGAGCGGAGCGTTTCGGGATGATGGCTGCCCAGCTGGGCTTCTCGCCCTTCCACGGCTCTGTGCAAGAACACCTCTGACTCGTCGAGCTTCCTCCGATCCAGCAGGAGAACCCCCAAGTTGTTGGCGAAGGTAAGGGTGTTGGGATGACTAGCTCCAAGCTGAGCTTCGATTCCTTCCAATTGTCTGCGGAAGAGGGGCTCCGCCTCCTCAAGCTTACCCTGGCCAAACAGCAAAGCGGCCAGATTGTTGAGTGAGCTCAGCGTGTCGGGGTGCCTATCTCCAAGTTGAGCCTCCTTTCCTTCCAGTGCCTTTCGGTTTAGGGCCTCAGCCTCCTCGAACTTGCCCTGCCTCCACAGCAAACTGGCCAGATTACTGAGAGACAGGAGGGTGTCGAGGTGCCGGGCACCAAGTCGAGCCTCTCTTCCTTCCAGCGCTTTGCGATAAAGTGCTTCAGCCTCCTCATACTTGCCCTGCTGCTTCAGGACGCTCGCGAGATTGCTCAGCGCCGTCAGGGTCTGTTGGTGCTCTGCACCCCACTGCGCCTCGTCGCCCTCCAAGACGCGGCGACACAGCGCCTCGGCCTCTGCCAGGTCGCCGCGGTCTTCGAGCACCGACGCCAGCCTCGGGGACGTGGGGTGAACGACGACCCAAGAGCTGGAGAGTCCCAGATCTTGCTTTCACCTGGTAAGTCCTGATAAAGGTGTTGCTTCTGCTGTTTTAATCAAAAGGAAAATTGAAGTTCGTGTCATAACAAGCCACTTCTCTTGACATGTGCTTGCAAAAAGAAATGAACAAGTTCGTGTATGTATGAAGATATACTCGTTCCTTTTCTTGTCTTGCTTTGTTTTCTTAGAGTTTAAAGAGTGACAAAACGTAAATGCCAGGTATATGTCTCTTTAACTGGAAAAGGATAAGCTCAATTGGGATGAAAGTTGTGCACACAATCAGACAAATGAAATAGGAATACAATTGGTTTCTTGAAATATGTGATGTCTATGTTCGATTTATGTATGGTATGAGTGCATGATGCGAAAAGGCCTGAGCTGCACACCGGCTCAATGCCTGGAGGGTATATCCATCTGTAGGGCCACGTCTGGTGACTGCGGCTTCAGCACGGCAGCGAAGCCTCGACACACAGCTTCCATCAGCAGCTCTGGCTGCACAAACTCACTGAAGGTATAGTGCTAAGTACTAGATCAGCCTGCTATCGCTGCCTGTCCAAAGCATCGTGTCCAAAGTGGTGGTGTTGACAGGGTTTCGTCACGAATGGAACTGATTCGCACCCAAGACTTGCCAAGTATCGAGCGGCACATCCAAGATCTAAGAGGTATCCCGGGTGTTAAAGCCGAGGGAGTGGGACTGGTTCGGTGGACGTGCCACTCAAGAAAAAACTGTTAGCAGGTGATCTTGGTGCCAAGAGTATTCTGACGAGAATTGACGGTGATACTATGTAGACTAGACTAGACTAGACTACAAAGGCCTTCCCATCCCTGTTGTTCTCCCAAGTTCAGCAACCAAGCTTGTGACATAAGTTCCGTGCAACACAAGATGTCAAGAGGGAACAGCAGCGTTTGTCTCTTGGCCAACTTTTGCTCAAGATGGGGTAGTATATAATGCCAAATGCAGGTTTGGGCATATTGAACATGAAGAAAGTAAGGAACGAACGAAACGCCAACAGCCACTCACCACATGAGTACACACACAAAGGCACAGTCCCCCATACATGCCAACAAAAAATGTACACAGAACAGAACCTCAAAATGGAACGCTCGGGCGTTGTATTAGTGTGACACCTTTGCAGCCCAGAAGGCCAACAGTGTGGCTTCAGAATGAAGCCCAAGTTGCGTTTGGAGTCCGATGAACGTCCTCGCATTGCCCCGTTGAGTTGCATCTGATTGTGCGTTTGCCACAACTTGTTCGAGTTTCGCTGAGGGCTTTAGTTCAGGATGCGCGGGCGAAACAAGCAGTACAAACTGCCCTGTTGAGAGAGTTCTCCAAACGTTGGCAAACCGGGTATGTGTCCTGATAGTTTTGGGGATCCTGATAGCAAACAAGAGACGTCTCCACCAGCACTGCTCTGGCATTTCCAATATCGCTTTCTGCTTGTGCTCGCACAACGATACATTCACGCGGTGGCTTTCCGGCTTCATTCAGGAGCTTTCCAGCAAGGTTCCTTGGCCAAAGGATGAAATGAGTCAGCCAACTGCTCAAAGTTGAAAATAAACTGCAATAGACTTGGCGCCCGACACACCAGCAGGCTTCCCCTGTCCAGAAACAAATGGCAACGGAATCGATTAACAACATCGGGTGATCTGTAAAGTCATGTAAAGTCAACCATTGCAAACAACTCAGCCTGCTCCACCATTTCCGGTGTCGGCCGTTCCGAGACATCGTAGGCTATGGATGCATTGACAAGGATTGGAATGCAAAATTCCACCCTCGATTGGTAGTCCTTCAGGAAGAAATTTGATAGCCATGTGTCGCCGACGAGTTACGTTGCTATTCGGAATCATGCACGAGCCCTACAGCAGTAGCAGCTCAAGGAGATCTCCTGGATTGCCGCCTCACGACCTTTCAGATCGATATCCTTGGATTTGCTTAATGACTGGGAAATTTAAAAGTATTTCCGAGAGGGGGATTCATACATAATGGAAAGCAAAAATTACCCTTAGCAAATCCAGGTATCTCGCTTGAGCATATTGCGGTAGTTGTTGTCCAGCAGCGTCTCCACGCTTGGCCATTCATCAGGTGCCTTCCGTACGCTGTATACGCCTGCCAAGCGTTCGCTCGAATATCTGGAATGGCAATGGTTGCTGGAACTAACTCACATAAACCTGCAGCAAGAGTCGCCGGGTTGTTCCAGGGCCAAAACAGTCCCTTACAAAAAACCTGCACGACCTTGGAAAGCGCTACCAAAATGAACTCACCCTCCAATCTGGCTCTGGCCCTAAGATTGACATGAGACGTTTAGCCCACCAAATCAGAATTCAGCTCACTGGCACAAAGCCCGCCTTGCCTTTCCCCCACCACGCATTGGCCTTTTCACCACTTGTGACGAGAGAGGCCTGTGAATGTACAGTGCAAGTGGCTAGATGGAAGGCATCGAGTTCAAGACATTGTCACTCAACACTTCTGAGAGCAGCACGAACACTTCCACAGCGGCTTTGCTCGCGTGTGTGATGTTATGGAACCCGAGCTGTGTTGTATAGTGAAAGTAACATTCCACATCACCATCTCCCCCAGCTTGGGTGAGATCAAGAGCATCTGCCCATACCTGCACGAAGCTTTGGCAAGTGCTGCATGTGAAGGGGTGGAACACGGTTGATAAGTTGATAAAGCTCTCGACAGCAGCGCCTTGATCTTGAGGCCTTTGTGGACCCAGCACCAATCGCCCACATCAAAGTCATATTCTTCGTGATCAAAAGCCCCACCATTCTTGTAGTCCTTCTGGAAGTAATTTCGGAGATGGGCCTTGCACAATGAATGTGTATGTTACTCACAAAGGCACCAAAACAACCGAGCCGGGACACTCTGAATGTTCTTGATATCTTCTTGACGGCTGAACCAGCCCCCAAAAAAAATCGATCCAGCTGGCATTCACTTGCTTGGCTGGCTGGTTGGTTGCTTCGTTGTGGAAGTGAGAAAATGATATAGTGTTAACAGGCCAGCTAGGATCAGCTAGGCACAAATACACCCGAAGAGAAGTGGTTTTGCACATGATGCTAGAAGTTGCTCAAACAATAGGGAGAATTAGGGAGCAGTGCAGCGGAGTGAATTCATGCTAATTCTGGCTGAAGGCTCCCCATTCACCTCTGCGCTCAGCTTGTGAAAACCCATCAGCTTGACACAAACAAATGTGGATCACCAGCGCTATCCTGTGCTCACCGACTTCTTTCCAACGCCTCAGATGTTGAAGGCTTCTTCACATCACTCCCTTCTGTCACGATGGTGTCGATTTTGTGTACCTTCCCGGGCATAAACTGAAAGTTGAGAAAGGCATCTGGTGTCGCATATATGACTACTGTGCGGCCAAGCAAGGCAAACGATCAACGACAGTCCGTACACGCTTCCCTGAACCGGAATTTAGTTTGTGTATCAGGTGTCAAGAACAAGCATCAAATGTTGAGAACGGCAATTTTCTCTGAACCAGTGCTTGATGCCCTCAACTGAACCAATGTCCAACTCATCTCCATGCCTCCAATGCAGCGCTTGCCCCTGGCTGGTTCCTTTCTTGCATGCTTTCTTCAGCTTTTTGGACCTCTTGGTGCACAAAAACGCTCTGTCGGCCGACTAAATGAGCAGTCACATGTGGATCGCCGCGGTGACTTGCTGGTCAAAACACTAAACACTTCAATAACCTTGACTCCAACGTCTGAGTTTCGGAAGGCACAGGGAATAAAGAATAACGAGAGTTATTTTCGTGACTACAATTCAGATTCAGTCCTGTAGTCAGTCCTAGTCAGTCGCAACAAATCTCACCAAACGAAACGACAAACGCACCCCAAACACAGGCATAGACTAGTTCTTCTACAAGGGATAGACTTGCAAAGAACAAAAGTACTTATGGTGTGTCCACCATGGGTGAGCTCCGAAGTGATGTGCAGAGCATGAAATGCGGAACAACCGAACAACCATGAATAAAATGCTGAAGGCTTCAGGTCTCATGTCTTGTTGAGCATCACGGCCGTCCTGATGTAGGAGTTTTTGGAGAGGCGGTTCTTGGCCAAACTTAGAAACAAAAAAGAGGTTGAACAGATCCGAAGTTGCAAAAGGCATGAATCCAAAGCTCTTTGCATCCCATCCCATCATCTAGAAGTCGCAAAAGCTGGATGCTGGCGCAAACAATGAATCTCCCACTGCACCTCTGAGGTGAAGAGGATATCCAAGAAGTCTTTCACACCTCAAGACTTGCTTGGCTATACACCAGCCTTGCTACGAGAGCTCTGAGCAGTCTGATCACTATTTATTGGACAGGAACACGCACTCATGACAGCCCATGCTCCTTGTGGACTTGTGGACTCTTGCCCATCCCTGCCAAGCTGCGAAGCCATGAGTTTTGCGGGTAGTCCTGCCGATGGTGTCGATGCACACAGCGGGAAGGAAATGGAAAGCATTTCCTTGGAGACCAGCCTAGAAAAGGCGAACTGTGGCGAGCTCATGTACTCATTATGTTTCCCAGTTCTTCTCGCGGAAGTGTGAAATCTCCTGCAGAATGGCATGGGCCTCCTCCAGTGTGCTACCAATATCTTGAAGAATTTCGATGTAGCCTGAGGATGTCAGACATACGTCTTGGCCATCAGACCAGGCCAAACGTGAGTATAGCAAAACCTTTGGCGAAAGAATCAACTTTGACCCTCTCAAGTAGACCCCAGCTATACTTGGCACAAGCTCAGAGCTCCTCCCAGATCCCCACAAAACCTTCGTTCAGCCATGTCCAATCCAAGAAGCTTTGCCGCTCCAGCCATGTCCCGCCACCGCCATCGTGGCACTCGCCATGTCCCAGTTTCGCCTCGAAGATCGCTTCCACCTGCCCACGCAGCTCCTCGGTGCAGCCGCAGCTCAGGTGATCAGGTTCCGAGATGGGGGGGTTGTGATGTATTGAAAGTCTTGGAGGGCAGGAAAACACATCAAACAAAACGGGAATTTGCAATTGAAGTCCCCCTCTCTTGACTCTTAATTGTGACCAAGTGGCAGTCATGCTTTCCAGACTGCGCCCAGTACTTCTGCCTTGCAGGGCACAGTTGCTCGGCGCCAAGCCAAAACAATTCAACCAACTGAACGTGAACAGGATACGAACCAGCTGGTCCGAACCACCTGCCAAGTCTTTGAGAAGAGCCGCACATCAAATGAAGAAGGAAGAAGGCGAACAAACCCCGGACATTGGGAGGCTCACCAAGTCGCTGTTTGTCAATCGATCAATTTGAACTCCGTAGAAAACACCGGCTCGTTGCTGGGGGTATTGTGAAATGAATTGTTCAGGCTTACAAAATCATGTCCTCCAAGTGAAGAAGAAAACACAAGCATTAGACAGGTCCGTGCTGTACAAAAATTGCAGGGTCGACGGCACACAACCCTATTGATGGTGAAGCGAACAATGTTTAGAATGACTGATATCTTATGTATACTAGATGATTTACAACAATGTTCACGCCTCACGTTTGCGATATGCCATGATGCCGGATGCCGGTTTGTTGGAAGGTGAAACCGATGTCCGTCAGGAACGGAGTCATGGGGATCCTCAACCCATAAAGGCCCCAAGTCAGCCAGTGGTGCTGTCTCCACGTCAACCGATCGATCGACGGCACCAGCGGTTTCTGTGGTTACCTGAACCCTGCGAACTTGCTGAATGCGCGACCTCTCCCATGTCCTGGAATGATCCGTAAACGGGTCAAAAGTTGCAAGACGACGAGAAGTGTCCCTTTGTCGACTTTGGTATGCCATGATCATTTGGACTTGCCCCAGTTTACCCCACCATGTATATAACACTTCACATATGTTAGTCCATCTTTTGATCAAGAAATACTTAAGAACAGCATGCTGTCTGCTCAGCTCTGCGATACTGCATAGCCCCCCATGTTCATTATATAGTAATATTATATATTCCATGGGCTCTTCTCCATGCTCCCTCACCACCCTTTCTCAGAGTCTCCAGACCTTTCCGACACCGTCACCGTCCGACCGCTTCGTTTCGGTCTGGGCACCCCCACGTCACCACCGGTCCGGCAGAGACGGGTTGGATCCGCACAGAGAGAGGTCGGCGAGTCGAGTGAGAACCGGTTCCGGTGGAAGTTGCGAGACTTGGAAATAGGTGGAGGTTTGGTTATGTTCGGCTCTTTGATATGTTTTGTTTTATCTTCTTTTGGGGGGCCAACCCCCCCAGAAGACATGTGGATACTCTACTCAATATAGTTACAAGGATCATCCGACGGCTTGTGGTTGAACGCAAAACAGTCTATCTGTCACACAATGTCTGTTTGAAGGCTGACAATTATCTAGCCTAAACTGAAAACCCATAACTCCCACAAGTTCTGCTCCTGTCGGTTCAAGGCAACTGTGCACTTGCCTTCTTTCACTTGGTGAGCAGAAAGTGAATATGACTTTTGCAACGGATGATGTGTGTGGATTGCGCAGGTGTAGAATGGTGCAACTGCAAATCGAGAAGCGCTGCTGATGCTGCGGCATGCATCGCGAACCACGCACTCCTCTCCAAAACCCATCGGGGAGGGGAAGACCGGTCTTCTTGTACCCAACCGAACTTCGAGATACTTCAAGGTCGATTGGTGACACCTACACATTCCTTCCGGTCGAATAGCTGTTCCGCCTGTTCGGGACAGTAGAATGGTGACGATGTCACTGCTATCAATCCGTCCGCGGAACAACAAAAACCGTGCCATGAAGACAACTGCCTACGTAATATAGTAAGTCCAGTTCATGGGTCGGTGCAGATCTTACGGGGCATGAGGAGACACAGTCAATTGGCCTGGCTGAACTTCAAACGCTTTTCACTCGAGCTCCAGACTGAGTGGCTCTCATGACAATCTCATGTGGATCCAAGTGAGACAGGATTCGGTCGATGCATCGATGTTCGCCTCACTGATCAGCGGAATCCGGTGGCATCATGGCCTGTTCAGATCAACGAAACGATCAAACCTGGGTAACATGCTTCGTGAAAGCCATTCTGCTTGGTCGCATCATTGAGAAATTGTGGGTCACAAGAGTCACAAGAGTCTGGTCTGTGCACAAAGTCTTCAATATACAGCTCGGAACAATGCATCTCATCATGGAAACATGTCAGACGTCTACGTCCTAATTATTGAACCTTCAATTCAGTAGGCTCTTTCTCATCGGATCAAGCAGCACTTCCCTATGCCCCTCTACCTGTCTGCGCCTCAGCTGGTGGATCTTCTTGACGCTTGTCTCCACGCTGAAGGTGTTCCAGGTGTTCACGGCACGCGCGTGTCTTGGGATGGTCTGAGCCGTGCAATTCCTGCAGACCCGGCCCGAACTCGGATGCAAATGTCCAAGAGCAACCGGCAATGCACTTGGGGCCTATCGAAGACAAGACATCATTTGTGGATATTTGTGGTAGGATCCTGAATGTTATGGGACGTCCACGTTTCAGAATTTCCTGCCAGGAGATGCGTGGTTTTGGGGTAAAACTGTCAAATTCTGACTTCCACACCCTGCATCAAAGTGGTGAGGCTGACAACCACCAGGCTCGCAGTGTGAAGTGGACCCACAAACTGTTGTATAATATGTCAAATAACATCCAATACCCCCAATGAGCCAAACATTTATAACCAAGAAGGCACTATACTTACGTCCCAAGCAATTCATATCTGAAGCGCCTTCTAGTGCCCCCTCTCGGCAAAGAACTAGGCTTGAGGATTCCCCCTACACAACTTCTCTTTTGTGGATCCGTTTACTTCGATTTCAAAACCTCTCCTGCATGGAATCCTGCAATAGGTCACCCCCTTCGGCGCGCCTCCAAGGCGTCCAGCTGCCGTTGGTAGAGCTCGTGTGCCTCGGAGCCCAGTGGGGAGACTTGGGACACCCAGCTGAGATCGTTGAGAGCGGAGGCTCCAAGCTTTAGAGGAACACCAAGTGGGTGGAGCCGGAAAGCACTCGGATTCACCTTGTTTCATCTTTGGACCACCCCAGCTGGCCTCCTCCATCGAGCCTTTTGCCTCCAAGAGCTTTGCCAGACCAGAGATCGAGTCCAATGTCTCCTGATGTCTAACTCCCAACTGGGCCACTTGCCCTTCCATCGCCCGGCGGAAGTGCGACTGGGCTTCCTCCAAGCGCCCTTGAGCCGCACTGAGACGGGCCAAGTGGTAGACGGAGCGGAGCGTGTGGGGATGTTGGCTGCCCAGCTGGGCTTCTCGCCCTTCCACTGCTCGGTGCAAGAACACCTCTGACTCGTCGAGTTTCCTCCGATCCAGCAGGAGAACCCCCAAGTTGTTGGCGAAGGTAAGGGTGTTGGGATGACTAGCTCCAAGCTGAGCTTCGATTCCTTCCAATTGTCTGCGGAAGAGGGGCTCCGCCTCCTCAAGCTTGCCCTGGGCAAACAACAAAGCGGCCAGATTGTTGAGTGAACTCAGCGTGTCGGGGTGCCTGGCTCCAAGCTGGGCCTCCCTTCCTTCCAGCGCCTTTCGGTAAAGGGGCTCAGCCTCCTCGAACTTGCCCTGCCTCCACAGCAAACTGGCCAGATTATTGAGAGACACCAGGGTGTCGAGGTGCCTGGCTCCAAGTTGTGCCTCCCTTCCTTCCAGAACTCTGCGCTGAAGGGGCTCCGCCTCCTTGAACTTGCCCTGCTTCTCCAGCAAAAGCGCCAAGTTGTTGGCGGAGGTGAAGGTTTCGGGGTGCCTGGCTCCAAGTCGAGCCTCTCTTCCTTCCAGCGCTCTGCGATGAAGTGGTTCAGCCTCCTCAAACTTGCCCTGATCTTCCAAAACGCCCGCGAGATTGTTCAGCGCCGTCAGGGTCTGTCGGTGCTCTGCACCCCACTGCGCCTGGTAGGCGTCCAGAATTCGCCGCCGTAGCGCCTCGGCCTCCGCCAGGTCCCCGCGCTTTCGGAGCACAAACGCCAGCCTCGGTGACGTGGGGCGCACACTCCTGACGTGGCGCTTCCCAGAAGCCATGGAGTTCGGTGGAGAAAGTTCAGGTCGAATTGAAAAATTTAAGTTCCAGTCAGAGAAGCTCTGGTCAAGATCTTGGTTTCACATGCCAAGTCCTGTAATAGTCGTTATGTATTTTCCTCAACTATGAAGTGCATGTCATAATTTCGTGTCATAATTACGTGGATTCTGGAAATATCTCGTATCAATATCATCCAATATCTATGATTTGAATAAAACTATATGATACTATATGAGTGTATGATGCGAAGAGGTCTGAGCTGCTCACCGGCTCATTGCCTGGAGGGCGTATCCATCTGTAGGGCCAAGTCGGGCGACCGCAGCTTCAGCACGGCAGCGAAGCCTCGGCTGAGCTTCCATCAGCAGCCCTGGCTCTACAAATTCACTGAAGGTAGTTACGAGATCAGCCTTCTAATTATTCTATTGCAGGCTGTCCAAAATATGGTGTCCAAATCGGAAACATTAACGAATGACAGCTTGTTTTTTCACTGGAGTTGTTTTTACAGATTTGGCGGACTGAGTCTGGCTTGCCAATGATACTGCAAGATCTGAGAGATGGGACGTGTTCAGTGGATGTGCCACTCGAAAGAACCATCAGCAGGGTGGTCGTGATGTGCCAAGAGTATTCTCAGGAGGATTGGTGATCCTTGGGATTCATAGCAAACAAGCGTCGTCTCCACCAGCACTGCTCTGGCATTTCCAATATCGCTTTCTCCTTGTGCTCGCACAACGATACATTCGCGTGGTGGCTTTCCCGCTTCGTTCAGGAGCTTTCCAGCGAGGTTCCTTGGTCAAGGCATGAAATGGGTCAGCCAATTGTTAAAAGTCAAACACAAACTGCGATAAGCTGGGTGCCCGGCACACCAGCAGGCTTCCCCTGTCCAGAATCCACTCGTAACGGAACAAATTAGCCAAATCAGGGAGATCTGCAAAGCCTTTCAAACAACCCAGCCTGCTCCAGCATTTCTGGTGTAGGTCTTTTGGAGACATCGTAGGCTATGGATGCATTGACAAGGATTGGAATGCAAAACTCCACCCTCGATTGATAGTCCTTCAGGAAGAAATTTGACAGGGTGTGTCCCCAACGATGTTCGGAAACATTCACGAAACCTACCGCAAAGCATTAAAAAGCTCTCCTGGATTGCTGCCTCACGACCTTTCAGATCGATATCTCGCTTGAGCATGTTGCGGTAGTTGTTGTCCAGGATGGTCTCCACACTTGGCCACTCGTCAGGTGCCTTCCGTACGCTGTATACGCCTGCCAAGTGTTGGCTGGAATATCTGGAATAGCAAATGATGGGCTGAAACTAAGTCAGGATAAACCTCGATCGAGAAACGTTTGGTTGTGCCAAAAAGCTTCCTTTGCAAAAACCTTGTCTAGCTCGGAAAACACAAAAAATGAAAATGAATTCACCCTCCAATTGGCTCTGGCTCCTGACACTAAGAAGTTCATCCCACTAAGGGTGACAATTCAGCTCACTGTCACAGCACGCCTTGCCTTTTCCCCACCACGCATTGGCCTTTTCACCGCTTGTGATGAGAGAAGCCTGTGGCTGTGGATACCCAAACGCAGAGCAACTGGCTGGATGAAAGGAATCGCGTTCAAACACAGCAGTTCTGAGGGCAGCACGAACACTTCCACAGCGGCTTTGCTCGCGTGTGTGATGTTCCGGAATCCGAGCTCTGTGGTATAGTGAAAGTAACATTCCACATCACCATCTCCCCCAGCTTGGGTCAGGTCAAGAGCATCTGCCCATACCTGCACGAAGGCTTTGGCAAGTGCTGCACGTGACCCAGAACCATCAAAGTGTGGAAACGCGATGCAACAGCAGCGCCTTGATCTTGAGGCCTTTGTGGACCCAGCACCAATCGCCCACATCAAAGTCATATTCTTCGTGATCAAAAGCCCCACCATTCTTGTAGTCCTTCTGGAAGTAATTTCGGAGATGGGCCTTGCACAATGAATGTGTATGTTACTCACAAAGGCACCAAAACAACCGAGCCGGGACACTCTGAATGTTCTTGATATCTTCTTGACGGCTGAACCAGCCCCCAAAAAGATTCTATCCAGCTGGCATCCACTTGCTTGGTTGGCTGGTTGCTTGCTTCGTTGTGGAAGTGCGAAAATGATATAGTGTGTGTAAACAGGCCAGCTAGGATCAGCTAGGCACAAATTCACCTGAAGAGAAGTGGTTTTGCACATGATTCTGGAAGTTGGTCAAACCATCGGGAGCAGTACGGCAGACGTCATTCATGATTCATGTTAGTTAATTCTGGTAAAGGGCTCCCCATTCACCTGTCCGCCCAGCTTGTGAAAAACCATCAGCTTGACAGGAACAATTGTGGATGCTCAAATACTTCCTCTTGCACACCAGCTCTCCTGTGCTCACTGACATACTTTCCGACGCCTCAGATGTTGAAGCCTTCTTCACATCACTCCCTTCTTTCACGCTGGTTTCGGCTTTGTGTACCTTCCCAGGCATTCACCAAAGTTGATCGAGGCATCTGCTGTCGTGATACAGATATCACTACTGTGTGGTAAGGCAAAGTAAACTATCAATGACAGTCGGTACACGCTTCCCTCAACCTAAATCAGTTTGTGTCACGAGCCACCAAATGTTGAGAATGGTAGTCTTCTCTGAATCAGTGCTTCCTCAACTGACCCTTGGCTGGTTCCCGTCTTGCATGCTTTCTTCAGTTTTTTGGACCTCTTGTTACCCAAAGACGCTCAGCTGGCCAACTGAATGGGAAGTCACATGTGTTGATCGCCACGGTGGTTTGCTGGTCTATTCAAAACACTTAAACAACGTTGACTCCGACTTGAAGTGTCGGAACGAATAATGTAGGGAATAGAGAATAGGTTCATCAATTCGGTTCCAGTCCTAGTCAGTCGCCACAAATCGTACCAAGGGAAAAAGGAAAAAAAACAAACGCACCCCGGACGCAGGCATAGACTGGCTCTTCAAGGGATGGACTTACAAACAACAAGAGAAGGAAATAAATAACGACGTGTTCATTCTCGCGTTGAAATGGTGCAGCTGATACTTAATATCAAAATGTCCACCAGCATATCTGAGCGCTGAAGTGATGTGCTAAGCATGAAATGCGCAACAAGGGCCAGCAACAGCCCTGGTGAATAACTCAAGTGCCGTGGTTTGTTAAAGACAATTACTGTAAAGATTTCCAACAATGGAGTATTTTTGAGTGGCAGTTTTTTGCCAACTTCCGGATAAGGAACAGGAAACATCCTGGTAGTACACGCATGTATCAGAATAATACTCTTACTAGTTAAAGCTAGTTGCATCTCGTTCGGTCATTTGGAAGTCGGACATCTGGATGCTGGCCCACACAATGGATGCTTTTCGGGTGAAGAAAATGAAGCTCCCACTGCACCTCTGCGGCGAAGAGGATATCCAAGAAGTCTTTCACACCTCGAGACTTGCTGGGTCACCAGCTGCCTTGCTGTGATAGCTTTGAGCTGGGGTCTGATCACTATTTGGACAGGAACTTCGATGATCCAAATACAATATACAGATCTATGTATGTTGTCAATGTCAAGATATTCCTCTTGGACTACTCCAGGTCCTGCCGACGGCTGCCAAGCTGCGAATCCGTGAGTCTTCTGGGTACTCCTGCTGATCGGTGTTTTTTGGCAAGCACGTGGTGGTCAACGTCAAGCAATGGGCCAAAGCAATTACTTGGCGACTAACAGCTTCTTTGAGTTTATACACTCAAAACTAGAGCAATTCTTCCCGCTCCACGCTTGTGACAATCTCCTGCAGATGGGCATGGGCCTCCTGCAATCTGTCACCAAGGTCTTGAAGAATTTCCATGCAGCCTTACGATGTCACATGGCGGTCCGGACAGCTGTTGGACCGGCGGTGGACTTCCAAAAATGTAAAGTCTTGAACGGCCAGGCAAAATGAAAGCTATTATAGTCACGCGAGGAGTCACCAAAACCTTGGCTCAAGAATTGATCGGGCGGCGACTCCCTCAAAACGACCGGTTGCTCCTTTGATCCCTGTACTTGGCTCAGAAATCCTCCCGAAATCCCCAGAGAAAACAGACATCCGATCCCAGGAGCCTTGCCGCTCCAGCCATGTCTCGCCATCGCCATCGTGGCACTCGCCATGTCGGCAGCTCGCCTCGAAGATCGCTTCCACCTGCCCGCGCAGCTCCTGGGCACGTCACGGGGATCGGCACGGGGATCGGCACGGAGGATTTGGAGGCTTTGCAGAAGCTTTTGGAAAATGTGTGGGTGTCAATAGGACCTTCGCCTGAGTCTTACTTGTGACCAAGTAGCAGCCATGCTTTCCAGACTGCGCCCAGCAATTCTGCCTTGCAGGGCAAAGTTGCTCAGCACCAAGCCAACCAACTGAACATGAACAGGTACTAATTAGTTGTACTATAACTATAACTATAGCTGGCACAAACCAGCTGATCCGAACTACCTCCCAAGCTTTTGTGGAAGTATCCCCCTGATGCATGAACATCTGTGGGGTGAAGAGCCGCAAGGCCGAAGAAGGTGCACATCAGACCCCGGACATTGGGAGTCTGATTCAGACTAAGTCTCTGCTCATCAATAGATCTATGCAATTTGAACCCCTTCGAAACCGGATGCAATGGGTCTGTTGGAGGGTGAAAACCGATGTGTGTCTTTGGGAACGGAGTCGTGGGGATCCTCAACCAGTCCAAGGCCCCAAATCAAACAGCCTCAACTGATCGATGGACAGCACCAGCGGCTTCTGTGACATAAGAAAGGTAATCAGGTGAGGAGAAAAAAAACCTTGTGATGCCATTGTTGGCCAGAGAAATATGGCAGCACATCTGTGTTTCCCCAAGTCCCTGGTTCCACAAGATGCGTCACACCTCCAGACGCTCCAGCCAAGCCTGGGCGAGATGAACTAGACTTTCAGCCGCTGTTCCAAAAGCGAAACCATCTGCTCTACAGCCAAGCTGATCGAAAGAAATATGTGTACAAAAGAACAAAGGGCCTAGAAAATCAAGGGCACCACACTTTGGAAGAAAACAAGAGCCGCAGCCGCCCAAGGTCTTCTTTGGCCAAGCCCGTGGCCAGGCCCGCGGGCCAGTGCATCGGCCGCCCCAGCGGCCTCGAAAACACATATGCTGGGCACTTCAAACGTCCATTTGGCCATTTGGCCAACAGTCTCTGACTTTGAACAAACAAACACCCTGAAACAAATCCATCCCTCAGTGCTCATCTGCCACCTTTTGAATCAGTATCCATCCCACGTCATCATCGTCTCATCATCCCCATCCTCATCCGCATCGTCCAGCCGCACCTCAGTAAGCCCAGTGAAGTCGGTGGCCTCCTGGGCTTGTGCCGCCTGCGCCGAGCTCCCACTGCCCATGACCTGAACGCTTGGGACACTTGGGCAGCATGGCCAAATGTTCCCGAGAAAAATCGGTTGATGCTTGTTTTCAATTACATTGTTTGAAGAAAGAACATTCAACAAAGGCAGGAAAACAGCACTCATGTTCTTCAGGATGGTGAAAATACTGCATTGACCCCTTTCTCAGCTACAATGAATCTCATGAGGATGAAACCAATAAATTCTCAGTTGCACTTTCCATAGGAGGTCAGTATGCTTCGTCTGTGCATCACATCATTGAGGGCCAGGTAGTGGCATTACGCCAGCTGCTCCAATATCGTGTCCCTTTGTCAGTCATGATCATTTGGACTTGCCATGACTTGCCCTAGTTGTATATAACACTACAGGTCAGTCCATCTTTACAACGGTGGACAGCCCTGTTGTGGATTCCCGTAACTTGAAGACCCAGCTCTAAAATACACCCTGGAAACACGGTACAAACATGCGTGAAAGAATACAGGTCCGACAAATCCCACTCAGCAGACTTGGGTCAACTAGCATGCTCAAGAAATACTTAAGAACCGGCTAGCATGAGGTCCTCAGCTCACGAAACCACTATGTTTCATTGGTTTCGATATAGGCCCCATGTTGATATTCACATTCACATGGACCTATATATGGGCCGGGCTCTTCTCCAATCTCTTTTCACTCACCCCGCAGCCGTCTCCGGACGTCTCCGGCCTCGGTGCCAACCGGGCGCCCCCACCGGTCCACCGGTCCCACCGTCGAGTGGGATCCGCTCCGAGAGGGACTGATATGAAGGGCCCGGTGGAGGTTGTTTTGCTTTTTGTCTCGATATGGGTTTTTAATCTTCTTTTGGAGGGCCCACTTTCTCGGGAAGGAGCAGCACATTTGGAGGTACTCCACTCAATATAGTTAGTACAGGGATCATCGGATGGCTTCTGGTCCATGAACGCAAAACAGTCTGTTTGTCACAGAATGTCTGTTTGAAGGCTGATACTAAACTGAAAACTCATAGCTCTTGAATGAAGCAAGAACTCATGAAACATCCGCTTCTTCCCAAAATCCTGGGTGAAGACTTCAGTGCTGGGAGCAAAATGGATTGGTGATGTGGTCTACAAAGCTGAAAACGAGATGTGTCCATGGAAAACCGGGGAGTACAAGGTTCCAAGAAATGCTGTTTCTGTGTTGGTTCGAAAGCTTTGAGTTGTACAGTACGTACATATCTCAATCTGCAAAAGAAAGATTCTGGTGTCTTCACAGACATGGAAGCGACATCGATGCACACTTCCACAAGTTCTGCTACTACAGGTTTAAGGCAACTGTGCACATGCCTTGTTTTAACTTGGTGAGTTAGTACCCGAAGAAACGGAATATGACTAATGCAACGGATGAAATGGATGATGTGAATGGATGGTGTAGGTGTGGTATGGCGTGGTGGCTTCGCTGCGTTGCTGCAACTGCAACTCGAGAAGCGCGGCTGATGCTGTGGCATGCATCGCATTCCGAACCACAAGCTCTCTCCGAAACCCGTACTCTCTCCGGTCTTCTTGGACCAAACCTGAACTTCGAGGTCATCAACATCATGGATTGGTGGCAACATGAGTGGCACACTGACGAAGCCACATATTCCGGTAGGGCCACCCGTTCGCGGGACACAACAAAGAAGCATCGGAAAAGCAGTCTTCATAGAAAAAGAACAGAAGTCAAATACGATCAAAGATGCCATAAATGTAAGAATCTCTCATATCTTGGGGGTTAGATGACTACGCATTGATAGGATAAGATAGAAATATTACAAAATAATACAAAATAGACCTTTTATAGGATTATGTATGTATATAATGTATGTAGGTGTCCACAAGTCATGGACACCAGCAAGTCGCTGTTCCAAGCCTTGAAGCCCCCGAATCACCACCTTCGCCCCACCGAGCCGTCAAACTCGGTCCCTACGACGAAGCGTCCGCGTCCGGTCATGCGTCTCATGGATCCCGTTCTGGGAAGTGTATGTCTCGTTCCATTCGGCGCTTTTGGGATGAATTCCTTTCTTGGAGGCTTAGGATGAATTCTCAGGTGAAAATGGCCAAACGTCACTGAGAAATGTATCAAACACGCAATCCAACTTTAGACTTTGGGTGTTACTGAGGTACTGCAAGTGTTGGGAGACACAGTCAATGCAGGTTTCGCCTGGCAATCAAGTCTGAACTTCAAACGCTTTTCACTCACGCTCTTTATTGAGTGGCTCTCATGAGGGTCTCATGTGGATCCACGCTCTCATCGAGCAAGTGAGACCGGATCCCACAGATCTTGCGGTCGATGCATCGATGTTCGGACCATGCGGCTCACGGGATCAGCTGAATCCTGGTGGCGTCACGGCCTGGAGTTTCTCCAGTTCAGATCACACCGGGGGCGGTGTCGTTCTGATTTGATCACGGTCTGCGTCGTTTGGGGCGGTCTTTGGGTCATTAAGAGTCTCCATGTTTGGGTCTGTGTAGACCTTCAACAGCTCGTAAAAATACATCTCAGGGTTGAAACTGCAACAATACCGATTCATATGAGTCATATGTCATATGTCATATATAAAACCTTCAATCCAGTAGGCTCCTGCTCATCGGATAGAAGCAGCACCTGGCTGTGCCCCTCTACCTGTCCGCGCCTCAGCTGGTGGATCTTGACGCTTTGCCTCCACGCTGCAGGTGTTCCAGGTGTTCACGGCACTCGCGGGTCTTTGGATGGTCTGAGCCGTGCAACTCCTGCACACCCGGCCCAAACTCGGACGCAAAAGTCCAAGAGCAAGCCCCATCGGAGTGGTGAGGCTGGCAAACGCCAGGTTCGCAGTGCAAATCAAGCCAACTAGGTTCAAGGCTTGACGCATTCAGCACAAAGAACGCGTAATGAACGTCATCATACAAGCAGCCAAGCATTTGCGGCCAAGAAGGCACTACTTAAAGCTACTTGCGGCCCAAGCAATTTATTCCATTTCCCCTCCAATGACATGCATACAGCATACATTCAAAAAGAGTTTGGGCAAAGAACTTGGCTTGAGGATTCCCCCACAACTCCCCCGTGGTGGATCCTTTCCCACCTCAACCCCACCCGCTTGGAGTGCGCATCACTCACCATTAAGTCACCCCTTCGCCGGGCCTCCAAGGCGTCCAACTGCCGATGGTAGAGCTCCTGCGCCTGGACGGCCCAGGGTGGACGGCGAGTGCCCGTTGGTGGACAGGGTGGCAATCGGATTGACTTTAGACAGCTTTTGATTAGGTCAAGGCAAACGACCCTTCAAGTTCTTGAAAAGAAACAGTTGTTGCATCATGTTGCATCTTTGTTTCAGGCAAAGAAGAAACGAAGCAGGGAAAGAAAAAAAACAACTGAAGACTGAAGAGTTGATGTTTAGCACCGCACCGGAACTGCTGGCCTCCACCATGAAGCCTTTCGCCTCCAAGAGCTTTGCCAGACCAAAGATCGAGTCCAATGTCTCCTGATGTCTAACTCCCAACTGGGCCACTTGCCCTTCCATCGCCCGGCGGAAGTGTGACTGGGCCTCCTCCAAGCGCCCTTGAGCCGCACTGAGACGGGCCAAGTGGTAGACGGAGCGGAGCGTGTGGGGATGTTGGCTGCCCAGCTGGGCTTCTCGACCTTCCACGGCTCGGTGCAAGAACACCTCCGACTCGTCGAGTTTCCTCCGATCCAGCAGGAGAACCCCCAAGTTGTTGGCAGAGATGAGGGTCCGGGGGTGCCTGGCTCCAAGTTGAGCCTCCTTTACTTCCAGAACTCTGCGCTGAAGGGGCTCAGCCTCCTCGAACTTGCCCTGCTTCTTCAGCAGAAGCGCCAGATTGTTGAGCGATGTCAGGGTTTCGGGGTGCTTGGCTCCAAGTTGAGCCTCATATCCTTCCAGCGCCCTGCGATACAGGGGCTCTGCCTCCTCATATTTGCCCTGAACCTGCAGCAGATTGGCCAGATTGTTGAGCGAGATCAGAGTGTCGGGGTGCCTGGCTCCAAGTTGAGTTTCGCTTCCTTCCAAATCTCTGCGATACAGCGGCTCCGCCTCCTCGAACTTGCCCTGATCTTCCAAGACGCCCGCGAGATTGTTCAGCGCCTTCAAGGTCTCCCGGTGCTTCGCTCCCCACTTCGCCTCGTAGGCCTTCAAGACGCGGCGCCGCAGCGCCTCGGCCTCTGCCAGGTTCCCACGGTTTTCGAGCACCGACGCCAGCCTTGGGGACGTGGGGTGCACGACCCCCTTCGGAGGTCCCCGAGAGCTGGAGACTCTGTACACTCTCAGAGGTGTTTGCTTCCAGATCTTGCTTTCATCTGCCAAGTGCTGATGGTTGTTGTTTCTGGTTTCTGACACCAACAAAGTCGAAGTTCATGTCATACTTCAAACAGCAACTGATTGGTTTCTGGAGTTGGTTCACTTATCTTCAAGTTTCTCAATTGAAATGTAGGATGTGTACCCTCAGATGTTCGGGCTTCTCGAAGGTGAGAGACTCCAGAGACCAGGTCAAGAGGCGAAGACCAAGACCGGAAGACGACGCACCGCGCCGTTGGCGAACGCCGCCAACCCAACGCGGGCAGAGCTTTGACCGTTGGCGTCTGGAGACGGAAAATGAGTTGATGAGCTCGTTAGGTGGGGCCGGTCAAGATAGTCAAGCGTATGCATGTGTGGAGCCAAGTGCCTATACATGATGGTGGCGAGATGGGGGCCTCCAAGCCCAAGGCGAAGGACTGAGACTGAGGCGATAAATGAAACCACAGAGACACGGGGCAGAAGCCAAACAGGGAAAGGACAACAGGGAACGCAAAAAAGGGACCTACGTATTTTTACAGTATGTCTTATTTCTGATTATGTGGTAAAGCTTAATGGCTCCTTTTCTCTTTTGGTGTTCTTGAAAGCTTAAAGGCAGAGGAAAACAATTTGTAATGCTACTGAAGTGTGTTTTGTATTGAAGTGTTGTAATGTTCAAGGAAATGTGGGAAGGGTCAGCCCTCCAGCACAACTCGCATGTCATTATTTTTCCTCCATGGAAGACGCCTAAGTACAGCGATAAACTCAGGTAGCCTTGAGTATGCTCGCTTGCGATGATGAGAGTTATGGGCACACACTCGGACAGATGAGACGGCACAGTCGTTGTCCAAATCCTAAGTCACTAGACGATAGTATGAATTGGTTTCTAGAATTTTTGTTATATATATATATACAAAAATGTATTAACACGGTCAAACCTTCAATATATGAAAGTATCATGTGAATAGGTCTGAGCTGCACACCGGCTCAATGACTGGAGGGCCAACCAGTGTGTAGTGCCACGTCTCGTGACTACGGCTTCGGCACGGCAGCGAAGCCTCGGCTGATCGGCTTCCATCAGTGGCAGTGACTGTACCAAATTAGTATTCTATTGCTGGCTGTCCAATCCAAACCATGGTGTCCAAATTGGCAATGCTGACTATATTTATATTTTGGTTGTTTTTCACAGGAGCTTCTTCACGACGCATCCAATGATGTGCCACTCTCGAAAGAAGAAAGTGTCCACAGGTGATCTTTGTGCCAACAGTATTCTCAGGAGAATTGACGCTGATAGACTACAAGGGCTTTCCCATCCCTGTTTTCCCATGTTCAGCAACCAAGTCTGTGACATTGGTTCCGCGCCACAAAAGATGTGAAGAGGAAAAAGGGTTCAGTGTCTTCACTGACTCTTGCTCAAAAAGTGGACAACTGCCAAATGCAGGTCGGGCGTATTGAACATGAGGAAAGTGAGCTGTGAAATACCAGGGGCCACTCACCACACAAAGGCACAGTCTCCTGTACATGCCAAGCTCAGGCGTTCCATTAGCGTGACACGTTGGCAAACCAGGAATGTGTCCTGATAGTTTTGGGGAGCCTGATAGCAAACAAGCGTCGTCTCCACCAGCACTGCTCTGGCATTTCCAATATCGCTTTCTCCTTGTGCTCGCACAACGATACATTCGCGCAGTGGCTTTCCGGCTTCATTCAGGAGCTTTCCAGCGAGATTCCTTGGCCAAAGGATGAAATGAGTCAGCCAATTGCTCAAAGTTAAACATAAACTGCGATAAGCTGGGTGCCCGACACACCAGCAGGCTTGCCCTGTCCAGAAACAAATAGCAAGAAAGAGTTGATAAAACAACATGGGTGATCCGTAAAGTCAACGATTACAAACAACCGAGCCTGCTCCACCATTTCCGGTGTTGGCCGTTCCGACACATCGTAGGCTATGGATGCATTGACAAGGATTGGAATGCAAAATGCCACCCTCGAACGATAGTCCTTCAGGAAGAAATTTGACAGGGTGTGTCCCCAACGATGTTCGGACCATGTTCGGAAACATTCACGAGACCTACCGCAAAAGCATTATAAAGCTCTCCTGGATTGCTGCCTCACGACCTTTCAAATCGATATCTCGCTTGAGCATGTTGCGGTAGTTGTTGTCCAGGATGGTCTCCACACTTGGCCACTCGTCAGGTGCCTTCCGTACGCTGTATACGCCTGCCAAGTGTTGGCTGGAATATCTGGAATGGCATATGATTCCTGGACTTAACTCAGATAAACAGCGACAGCGCTGGTCTTACCAAATAGGTCCCTTTGCAAAAAACCGTGCCAAGACATTCCTACCTGGGAAAGCACGCCCAAAGCGAACTCACCCTCCAACTGGCCCTGGCTCTAAGACAAATACTGAGACATTTAACCTACAAAAACTCGGAGACCGCCTTGCCTCTTCCCCACCACGCATTGGCCTTTTCGCCACTTGTGATGAGAGAAGCCTGTGAATGCCCAAACGCAGCGCAACTGGATGAAAGGCATCAAGTTCAAGGCTTTGTCACTCAACACTTCTGGGAGCAGCACGAACACTTCCACAGCGGCTTTGCTCGCGTGTGTGATGTTCCGGAATCCAAGCTCTGTGGTATAGTGAAAGTAACATTCCACATCACCATCTCCCCCAGCTTGGGTCAGATCAAGAGCATCTGCCCATACCTGCACGAAGGCTTTGGCAAGTGCTGCACGTGACCCAGAACCATCAAAGTGTGGAAACGCCATGCAACAGCAGCGCCTTGATCTTGAGGCCTTTGTGGACCCAGCACCAATCGTCAGGATCAAATTCATATTCTTCATTCTTAAAGGCCCCACCATTCTTGTAGTCTTTCTGGAAATATTTTCCGAGATGGGCCTGGCACAATGAATATGCATGTTACGCACAAAGGCACCAAAACAACCCACTGGGACTCTCTGAACGTTCTTGATATCTTCTTGACGACTGAACCGGCCCCTCAAAAAAATTGTCCAGCTGGCATGCTTGGCTGGCTGATTGCTTGTGTTGTAGCAAAGGGACGTGGTGCATAGTTGGGACTCAAAAATGATATCATGTGTGTAAACAGACTAGCTAGGATCAGCTAGGAAGATAAATGTTTTTGCACGTGATGCTGGAAGTTGGTCAAACCAGAGGTGGCAGTGCTCTAGACTTCATTCATGTAAATTCTGGTAAAGGGCTCCCCATTCACCTGTCCGCCCAGCTTGTGAAAAACCATCAGCTTGACACGAACAATTGTGGATGCTCAAATACTTCCTCTTGCACACCAGCTCTCCTGTGCTCACTGACATCCTTTCCGACGCCTCAGATGTTGAAGGCTTCTTCACATCACTCCCTTCTTTCACGCTGGTTTCGGCTTTGTGTACCTTCCCGGGCATTCACCAAAGTTGATCGAGGCATCTGCTGTCGTGACACAGATATCACTACAGGGGAAAAAGCAATCCATGAATGACGGTCCGTTCCTGTTTTCCTGAACCTTAAATTAGTTTGTGTATTGAGAGCAAGCACCAGATATTGAGAATGCCCGTCTTGTCTCTCTCTCTCTCTATCATTCTCTATCTCTCTCTATCTCTCTCTCTCTCTCTCTCTCTCAGTTCACCGAATGTACAAGAAAGTGTAAGAGCTCGTATATCTCCGTGCCTCCAATGCAGTGCTTGCCCCTGGCTGGTTCCTTTCTTGCATGCTTTCTTCAGCTTTTTGGACCTCTTGGTGCACAAAGACACTCCGTCGGCCGACTAAATGAGCAGTCACATGTGTGGATCGCCACGGTGATTTGCTGGTCAAAACACTAAACACTTCAATAACCTTGACTCCAACGTCTGAGTTTCGCTTGGACGTCTGAGGTGTTTAAAGCACTCACAACGAAACCAACAGGGAATTAGAACAAAGATTGGGATCTGAGTTCATTTGGAGCTGGGTGCTGGCACTAGTCAGTCGCAGCAAATCTTACCAAAGAAAAGGCAAAAGCACACAGAACGCAGGCATAGAGTTCTACAAGGGATAGACTTATATACAAACAAGAAAATAAGCATCAGTGCGTTCGGATAAGAAATATATGTATGGTTAATATGGGTGATCGTTTAATGAAATTGTGTTGAAATATGAGTTGATCATAAGGATGTCCACCAACATATTTGAGCGCTGAAGTGATGTGCAAAGAGTGAGGCTGTGCCTCACGACAACTTTTGTGGTTCAACTTCTGCATGTTGCATGTCTGGTTCTTTATCATGGCCTTGATGGCTTGTGGCAAGAGCTCAGTAAACTCGACTTCTCAAGAAGCGGGCAAAAAGACCAGCCATTGCAGATATGCAGACTAAGTGCGTTTCTGTGGATATGGAATATTATGGAGTTCAACTTTTTTGCAATCAGCCGCGATTGACAGAAGCACACAAGTCAGAGGGACAAGTCACGCTTCAGTAGTCCCTCATGGGATGGAATAGTTGCCCACCGGCCAACCAAGAGCTGCCTTACTTGGTGATTTGATGCTCTGGTGGCATTGCTTGATCCGAAATTGTCCTGGTTAGCTAAACTCAAGCTGCTAAACAAAATGCGAAGCGCATGCAATG